ACCCTGAGAATTTGAAAGGGATATAATTTTGTGCTGAAATCTGTTATCTTGAACTATCCCTTAAACGGCCAACAAAACGAAAAAACTTTCACTAACTGTGATTGGATCCCAATACATTCTAAAACGGAAATGTCTAAGCTATAATTTAGGAATAATACAAGAATAATTCAAGCCTAAAATCTGCAGCAAAATGAGAATATTCAGCCTGGGCCGGAAAAACATCATTCTTATAAAAAGAAAATTATGTATGTAAGGCGCATGCGCTTGGAACCATTTTTTTTTTTTCGTAGAATATGATGTATTGTTTGAAAGCCTCTTAATCTGGACACAACATATACACTAACTTCTGTGTCATTGTGTTTTTCTGATCCTTCAACACTTCTTTTAAGAAACAGGCCTTGCTGTCGGCATAGCCCAGTAATTACTGAATCGCTCAGTCATCCATTTTTTCGTATGAATATCTTAATTCTTATCATGCTGCTTGGTATTCATAAAATTAAAAAATAGTGACCATTTAACAGATGTATTTTTCAGGTGGAACATACATTGTCGTAAGTGTCAGTTAATTAACGAAAGCGAAGCAAGATCTCGGAGCGCCTAAGTGTATCGAACAACTACATCAGTCCGATCGAGGTGTCGCATCAACTGTTTCTTCTTTTGCTACAAATCTAGGTGAGAAAAAAAAAAATGGGAGTTATTGCTTAAACCTAACGAGCCTTCTCAGTGAAATCTCAGTTCGAATCCAGTCAAGCTTGAGGCCTCCTTCGTAAAATTTTCCTGCACTTAAAGTCAAATTTCTGTGGTTCTGAATAACTTTTTGCAGCGATTTGTGTTGCCTTAGTATAGTTTGTACTATAGATACCACAAAGGTTAAAGGAAAGCTTTTATTCACTATTATTTTATTAACTGCACGACTTATTTCCAATCAGCCTGGAAATGTTGTTCCTCCTACTGAATTCGGTAAAATTTTCACTTCTGCCCCTTAGTGAAATATTCTGTCCGTTCAAACTAAAGGTAATATGTCAAAGTTTAAGTTAAACTTGTTTTGACGCTTCCTTTTTAAAAAGCCTCAAAATCTGATATTTTGAGCACACTTTTCCTCCGGTCACGTACAGTGTCCTAATTTTATTTATTCTAAAACGATAAATAAAAAAATCCTTAAACTCAATGTAGAAGCAATTGAAAATAATCGAAGCGAAAGAAATTTCTAAATATTTAGTCACAAAAAGAAACGTTTTCTTATCTGGATAAACACCAGAATATGATGTCAGAAAAGCTTTCGGTTTTTACCGCAATCTTTTCTCCGGAAATGTAAGGAGGCCACGACATGTTTTCACAAAACGTCGATCTTGCATCCGTAGTCTGAAAATCTCGGCCAAACTCCAGCATTCACAACGCTTTTTCAGAAATCTTTGTCGGCTAAAATTATCCAGGTCCAATGTGCTAAAAGAACTCTTAACACTTATGGAAGGCTTAAAACTCATATTCGGTAAGTTTTTTTATTATTAAGATTTGCGTAAATGATAAAACTTCCCTGCAGGGCAAGTTCATTATTAAATTGTGTTAAATTTTGTGTTAAACATGAAAAACAAAAACAAAAACACCTTTTCTTAATTTGGTTAAAAATGTTTGTTGCGTGTTTGAAGCTGGCTTCTTCTCTTTAGTGTTTAAAAACAGTGTAATAATGAGGCCGATAAATGTTGCGTTTTTACAATCGTATTTGTTTCGAAAAACAAGTCGACCGCCTAGAGATTAAAAAATATACACTATATTATATTAACCTGTTTTAGGGAACTAAGATTGTGTCTTTTTGAATGGAGGTTTTCTTTGAAAAGAGGTTTCACTGGATTAGGGTATTTTCATCAAAATATATTGCCAGCCTACCCATATTCCTATTTATTTACAATGCGGAATTAGAAAAAACGAACAAACGGTAACATAGTTTGTATCCGCTCTAGATGGAGATTTACCAAACAATTTGTCTCTGATCGACCTGTTCATTATCAAGAAGCTACTGATATTTCTCGTTCTCGGACTGATTTGAAACAAAAGTGAACATTTTTCTTCTTTTATATCTGAAAAACGTACACGAGTGGTGTTTAAAAACCTGTTATTTGTACTGTAGCTCTATCGTAAAGCATGCGCATTACAGGGTCTCGAAATTGACCATTTCAGTATACCACTTATGTCTTTAAAAGGTTGGAAATTTTTGTCCTGGTAGAGAAGGATTTTGCTTTTCATTGCGTCTCCCAAGGGAAGAAACATTAGAACGTGAGGCTAGTTTTCGATTGACGCCGGACATGCCTCGCCATGGACGCACCCCCTCAAATACTAGTGGTATCTCCATTTTGCGGTTTCTTTCACGATCGCTAAGAAGGGTCTAGCAAAAAGACACCGCAAAAATCGAATCGTTAAAAAATGAACTCCACTGTGATAGTTTAGAAAGATAAAGGTCTTAAAAGTTGGACCTACATCCCGGGGTACTACTCGCAGAAAAATTGGGTAGGGGTGTGCGGCCCGCTTCCCAAAACCCTTACCCTATTTATGACCAAAATCTGCGATTTTCCCTATACCTATTTATGACCTAACCAAAAATTTGATACCCTATTTTGTGAAGGGCTTTTGTTGCTTGTATTTTCTAGCCTACAAAGCAGCCGGTGGAGAGGAAGGCAAAACGCGGATGGAAGGAGGGGGACATGATAAGGAAGTAGCTTCTTCTAAAAAGTGGCATTCAATTTACAGTGTTTCTTTACCCTATCGCTAACAAAAATGGCGGCAAAAAACACCCAAAAATCGAATCGTGAAAAATGAAAAACCCCACCCTTTGGGTGCACATAGTTTAGAAAGATAAAGGTCTTAAAAGTTGGACCTACATTAAGCGGTCACTTATTAGAAGCTGAAAACGTCCCTAGCGATGGGAAACGAAGAGAGACAGTTTGCAGGCAAGTTACTAGCCTGTGAACAGGCTCTCTGCCAGTTCGGGGAAAGGGTGAAAAAAATCTCCTCGCGACTTTTTTCACCCTTTCTCAAAACAGAAAGCCTGTTCCGGCACAGGCTAGCAAGTTAGAACCAGCGTGGCACTTTCTGACATTATTTTGGGGATCGGGTCACTAAGAACGACAAGGGGTTCTAGACGGTAACTGCTCTCAGACGATGCAAATAATCTATCGGCCATCATTTTCTCAGAAATCGTTGGGGATGGAAGGGAAAATATCACAGATTACAGTCGCTCTCTTTTTATGCCCAAAGTTACCATGGGTGCCAGAGTCTTTTCTAGCGCGGTTTCCGGTTTCTGCCAAGGCTCGTGGCTTCGGCCTACGGCCGAAGATGTGTCCGCCTTCGGCCAACACCGAAAATTACCGCCGTACGCGAGAAAAGCCTCTGGTACCCTGGGTAGCCCATAGTCAGCAGTACTAGGAAATTATATCTCCTAATGTCTGCCCATCCACAGCTCCTATTGTACAGGGGTTAACAACAAAGCTTTTTCCTCTTTCATGATACTTGACAATCCTAATTTTCTGAGATTTTGACAAAACGTAAGAAAATGATAGTCATCGATGGGCAGTGTTTCTGAGCTCTTCCTACAATCGAGACAATTATAATTATGAAAACGACAGACAGGGGCAGCCAACGACCTCCGGGAATGTTTCCAAATACTCTAGAAATGCCTCAGATTGTTTTCTCTGTGCTTTAGAGGCCTGTTTGGACAGTTTGGAGTTGCCCTAAAAACTATTTATCTGTTCGGATGTCTCAGGGGAGCTTTGGTCGTCACGAAAGTTTTTGGTGGCTTTTTCGTCTAATCCGGAGAGTGTTAGCTACACTTGTGGGTCCAGTTTAAAGTTCGAGGAGTTGAAGTAGCCTGGCTTTCATTAGAAAATTATAGGGGACGTTTTGTCTTTATACCGAAAGTTCTAGGAGACCTTTTTAAACAATAATCGCAATATCTTGGTATTAAAATGTGAATAACACAACCTCCGAAAATCGCAGTTAAGCTGCTAGAAAACCTTCGAATATTTTAGACGAATGGAACGGTTATCCAGACATTATAATCTTCTGTCAAGCTTTAGAAATTTCTAGGCGATATGTGCTCCTTTGAACAGTTATTTTACATAAAAAGGTCGCTGGGTGCCCTTGGACAGAGCCGTCTCGGTTGTCCCGAAAATTTCTGGGCTGATCCCGACGATCTGAACGATTGTAAAAATTTATGAGAGCATTTCTCGCTTTGATTTTTGAAATTAAGGTAAACTAATTTGTAATTCTGACCCTTGAAGCTCGAACAACGCCGGATATTGCTCTTTGCAATAAAATTTGCAAACAAGTGAAATTCGGCCCATCATAGAAACAGCAAAAAATTGTCTTGAACGACCAGCAAAAGCGTAAAATTTGGGATGTAAAGGCTGCCGTGTAATTTGAACGACCAACGGTTTTAAAAACCGTGAACCATCAATTTCGCCATCTGGTTATTGACCACTTTAGAAAGGCTGTACTTGTCACTTGACTTGTTGACTGCACTTCACGATATTTCATCATTTTTTTTTAACCGAACAAATGCCTTAGGTCACCACTGTCCAGTGATTCAAAGGAAAACACTCAGAAAATCCATCTGAACCTGGTTATCACCCTTCTGTCTCCGAGACTTTTTTAGTAAGGATACATTTCAATTTCCTCAGCGGTTCTAATTTAATTAATTAGAACCTAAGTTAAGTTTACCCTAGTGTTACGACCTTTTTTTTAACCAAAAGTAGTTGGATGAAATCCAAAATCTTTGGATACCTTCCATACATATGTCCATTTCTTTGTCTCCCCATTTCTTTCCGTCGGGAACTCTCAGTGAACTGTGGCAACATTGCACCAGTCTCTGACAACGTCATCATATGAAATGTCGTCTTTTTTTCTTTTTCATGTAGGGTAGAGTCTAATATTATACAAAATTGCTTGATGCGCAACAGCTGAACGTGGTCGAACTTAACCGCTACGCGAGCTCAAGGTTTCAGAAGAACATGGACACCTCTACTAGAACTGTACTAACAGGTACAATGCAGTCCACCCCTGGTGATCAGAACGCGAGTCGGAGACCGAATCAAGCGGGATTCATAGCCTACGTCATCGTTATGACCGTTATTGTGGTGGTAGGATTCGTGGGCAATGTTCTCACAATTTTAGTCTTACGGCGCCGAGAGCATAAAAACAAGGTCATAACTCCGCTGATGATCAACCTCGCTGTTGCTGATATCATTATCATCGTCTTTGGTTACCCTGTGGTTGCAGCCTCCAACTTCACCGATCACAACGTTCTTGAAAACCAATCGCTGTGTATATGGTCTGGATTCATAAACGGTTCCGTGGGAATCGCGACAATAGCCTGCCTGACAATGATGAGTTTTGCAATGTTGCACAGCTTCAGTAAAGTCGGTAGACCGCGAAGAGTTCCAACTAAGAAAATGGCTGGCATGATCATTTTCACGTGGCTGTACGGAGTGACCGCGATGTTTCCGCCGTTAGTGGGCTGGAACGAGTTCGTTCCCGGGAGTTCTGGGATCAGTTGTTGTCCAAATTGGCTGCCCGAAACAAAATCAGGAACAGCATACAACGTTCTGCTGGTTTTTGTCGGCTTCTTTCTTCCGCTGAGTATCATCGTGGTTTGTTACAAAAGGATTTACAGGTTAGCTGATAGTTAATGAGATTTTGGTGAAAGAAAAATATTTCAACAAGTAACTCCCAAAGGTCAATTATATAGATAAAAAGTATTGCGATACTCGCGCTGACGTCACCCATTGATATTAATAAACCTCGTTCCCAGGGTCCTCTCCTCTCGGAGTAGGAGAGGACACTGGAAACGAGGCTGCGACATTTATGTGCCAAACAGAAGCGCATTGGTTCTTGAAACAAAAGGATATTTTGCTTCACTCGTTACACAATTATATAACAAAACAGTGGTTGTAAATGGTGAGTATCGCCGGCTATAATAACAAAACAGCAAAGAAATAAGCGTGTCGTGTGTTTGTCAAGTGGAGGATTTAATGAAACACAAAAGAAAAGTCATTAAAACAATGAAGATATATTGATACAGGATTATCCCGACCTAAAGAAATATTGAAAAATTATTGGATGAGTTCTTTTGTGATGTTGGGAATGATCAAGGTCGACGGCTCAGCTGATAACACTTACTAAGATCTTGAATATTCCCGACATCACAAAAACTGATCCAATGATAGTTCAGTTTTGAATTCGTCGAGGCTGCTGCTGAAGCATTGAAGACTCACTTATACAGGGTAAGCCTCGACCAAGGTAAATATATTCACAAATTCCAGTTTGAAAAAGACCTGTGTAAAACTGTGTCTATTGTTTAAAACTCAAATTCAGGCACCCTCTTGCTGGTATTTGGGAATATTTTACTTGAGGTCGAAGCCCTTTATAAATGAGTCTTCAGTGCTTCTATTCAGGGGCCAAGACGAAATCGAAATTGGACTATTGTTTTATTTATTATACATTGCTCAGTTGAAACTGAAGGACAAACATAGCTAAACACAGTTTGACTATGCTCTTGGAAATCATGCATTACACGCGTAACCTACAGATTATTCAGAAATCTGCTAACACAAATAACTTACTAATAGGTGTATAAATGGGTACCAGCGACATACTAATGGGGGGGGGGGGGGTAACCCTGCGATGGACTAGCGTCCCGTCCAGGGGAGCAGCAGTACTCCTAGGTGCTTCATGCTAATGAAACTGCGATAAGCTCCGGCCGTTTGGGCCTTTGGCTCTGTGCGCCTTTACCTTACTTTTTACCTATGTTTTGATACTGTAGGTTAGTCAAGACACAGCCACCCCAGTCAGGGAACATTGCAATCCAGGCCAGTAGAAAAAGATCCCAAATGAAACTTGTACGCATGACCGCCATGGCAATCGCCGCTTTCGTTCTTAGCTGGTCGCCATATTGTTTAGTGAGCATCATCGCTACCATCAGGGGTAGTACGGTGCTATCCCCTGGTGAGGCGGAAGTCCCAGATCTGTTAGCCAAGGCCTCGGTTATCTACAATCCAATTGTTTATACGGTTATGAATGACAGGTTCCGTATAACTCTCTGGCAAATTGTGCGCTGTCGCAGGTCATGTTCCGGTGAGATCGACATTAAGCCAGCGAGACATTCTTCCTCGGAAGAACAACAAAATAGTAGTTCTTTAAGAAAAGGGACGAATTCCAAGGAAGATGACAAGTGATCGAGGGATATTGAACCCTATTACGCTAAAAGGACAATGTACTTCAACTCACCACAACAAATTGATCTCTATTAAGGAATACCACCCATACGGGGATCACAGCGGATTATACAGTATTCAAAGTGATAGCTTGAGTTGTTGACTGTAGAAAGTGGTCATGTCTTTTTTGAGTTTCTGTACTTCCTGAGTTGCAGATGAAATAAGGAAATACTGCTGGACGCACGGTAAAATGTTGTTTGTACTATTGCAAGTAATGCTAGTTTACGGCATGTGTGTCCAGCTCAGTAAAATATCATCACTGTAAATTAGGCGCAACAAATATTGAGGTGTTTCTATTTTCTGCAACATTGCGCGCAATGGATTTTATAGTGTGTTAGCTTTTCCAACATTGCGGACGACAAATTTCATTGTGTCTACCTTCTGCAACATTGCGAGCAAAAAATTTCATCTTGTGTCTATCTCCTGCAATCTCGAGCAATGAAATCTCATCGTGTGTCTATCTTCTGTGACATTGCGCGCAAGAAATTCGTGTGTCTACAACAAATTTCATCGACCGCCTACACGCCACTGCGCGCAACAAATTTTATTGTGCGTTCTTTCTACAGCATTGCGCGCAACAAATTTCATCGTGTATCCACCTTTTGCAAAATTGCGCGCGATGAAATACGCCATTTCCTAAGTGTAAAATCTTTGTTGTGAAAATGAGTTTTATTCGCATGAGAATAAAAAACATTTTCATATAAAAAGCCTCGCTTTGAAACAGAGGCTTGTGGCAACTCGGAATCGGCCTATTTCGTCTTATGTCTACCTTCTGCGACATTTTGCACAAGCAATTCGTGTGTCTGCTACCCTCTTGAATACTGCGCTTAACAAATTTGATCATGTATCTTCCTTTTGTAACATTGAGGGCAAAAAATTTCATCGTGTATCCAGCGTTTGCAACACTGCGCACAAGAAATCTTCATCGTATGTCTGCCTTCTACAACACTGCACGCCAGTTTCATCGCGCCGATCTTGAAAACAGTTCGCAACAAATCTTTATCGCTACCCTTGTACATCATTGCGCACAACAAAATTTCAGTGTTGTCTACCTTCTGCAACATTGCACGCTACAGTTTTTCAAACTCCAACTAACTGTATGTTTCTGCCTCGGTCAGTTCTTTTAGTTGTGCATTTCAGTGAAATAAGTGTGTTATTATCATAGCTGGTTCGTTTGAATTTGCGTCTTGACGGCATAAAATGTCAATTGTAAGCCATACACTTATTACTATGGCTATTATTCCTACAGAATAGATCGCCGACAGATCTACCTTGTCTTAAACCAGACTCAAACCGAGTAGTGTTTAACAATGACATGTAAATATTTCACGTGGGAAAGTGTATTAATTATTAAATAATGGAAATAAGTAAACAGATTATTACGTTTTCAAAAAAGTTTTATATAAAGTTTATATTTGTTTGAAAAAAAAACGGAAACTGTTTGTTCTGACTTGTGTTCATCAACTGATTCACATTAAGTGTTCTTTCACAGCTAAGGTAGTTAAGTTTATTAAGTTTATTCACTTTATTAAGCTTTTAAGGCAAAATAAGATTAAAATAGCCTTATCGAGTTTTTAAACGAAAGTAGGTGTAACATGTTTGTGTTCCAAGGAAGAATTCCAATAGAGAGGAGAGGAAATCATTACGTCACGTTACCATTTGAGCAATATTTCTGGATCTCAACAAACCGTGGTCCTGCAAATTTGGTAGAAGAAAACGAAAAAATTGGTATGTATGACTTTCCTGTGCATGATTTGCACTCGGGAACGAAACGGAATTCCATACTTTTCTTCCACCGTTCGACAATGCAAACGGCCACCTCTACCATATTAACTTGACGTCGCACTTCTCCCCTCCATAAACTTTTTACCTGTATCTGTGTCTTGAAGCCCTTTAGGCCCCAGTATCCGCATACAAATTCCCCAGACCGATACATCAACAAAGCATTTTCCGTTAGGTGAACATTTTATCAATTCTTTATTCGTGAGTATGTATCGAAAACTGATGATGTCACCATTAGCCATGTTCTTAACGAGCGGGGAACTGGTTACGACTTATGACCGCAAAGGCTCTGGAGATCGTTCGAGGGGACAGTTGAAACATGGCGGATAGCTACGCAGTAAGCCACCTGTTGAAGACGGACTTAGGGTTGAAGAATACATACCTGGTGCATCATCAGTTTGGATCACAGTACTTGTAAAGCGCTATATTTCTTGACCTTCATGCTGGCCCTCCAGACGATCGCAAGAAGATTTGTGGTCACATATTGCACCCAGTTTTTCACTCGACATGGCGAATTGGGACTTAAACGCGTAAATTTCAAGTTACGTTTCTACCTTTATTGCCTACGAAATTATGGGTGAAACATGCCATTTTGGCGCCCATCAACAGCAAAATGATAGATTATGAAAAGGATAGTTTCGAAAAAAACGTCTTCGGTGGGCCTGAAAGCGAAAATTTAGCTTCATCAAGAGATTTGATACAAAAGATTGACAACCTGACATACCAAGCGCTCAAGTCTCAGCTGAGAGGGCCTCGGGTGTGTCATGGTTCGTGAACACTGGCAATTTTGGTTTTAAAGTGTGATTTACTGCTTTGTCACTTTGTCATTCATTTATTTGCCCATGCACAGAGTTATTACAGAAAAGCAATAGAATAATTATACCTGGGTAGGAGCTCTCAGCAACCCTTTAAGGCTTTACGAAGAGAGCTCCTGGATACGTTTACAATGACTTTATTTTTAAGATAATAAATTGGATATAGCTGTGTCACGAGGATTATAGTAATTGGGGAACTAACTAAAACTAATAGTTCTTGTAAATAGTTTTCTTGTTTGAGGAGAAAATGAGTTTCATTTTTTTCCTGAACAAATTGATTGTCTTGATTTCTTTGATAGGATTTCTTTGATTTATTTTACTGACTGTTTTTGGTAGCTGGTTCATGCTTGGAAGTTGTGAACATTAGAGTTTGATCTTGTGTTGTATTGATAACTGCATTTGTTCAGACAAAGAAATCATTGAAAGGTGATGATAGGTTCTTACTGAAGTATCGAAACTTGAACAAAGCCATAGTTTCATTGTTTATATCATCTAGAGGTAAAATCCATAGTTCTTTGAAGAGAGGACCAGTATGTTCTTGAAATTTTCAAAAAGTAATTAATATACTTATAATTGTTTTGTAGCCTTGTTATTGGTTCCAGTCATGTTGTGTACGTATTTCCCGATGCAATGTTACCATAAATTAGATATGGATAGATCAATGCGTAATATAGACCTTGCATGAAAACGCCGGGTAGATTATGCCTTGCTCGACAGAGTACACCAGAAATATGACTTATTTGACATTTCCAGTCAACATTTCCGTCTCTAAGAATATCGATCACACAAAACACGAAGTTTATATTAGCTTTTAGTTTATTCGTCAACGCAAAAGTTACGCATCTTTACTTGGCCACTGGGTAAATTAAATACGTCCTAATTTTACTTTAATGACAGCAAACATGTATCAGATATGGTTGCATTTAAGTTGCCGGGACGTGAATTTAAAGGTCTGTTGAACATTGCACGAGAGAAAACAAAGTATGTTTACGGAATTAATTTACCACAGTTTCTAAAAAAATCAGCTCTTGTTTAAACTTCTTAAAACACAATTACGCAGTGCAATTCCAAATTAAAGTCAATATCTACATACCAATTATTAACGTTTCATTTGTAGACCTCTGAAAAATATGGTTTTTTATACTTCACTTTGAAGCACGTCAAACATAATTCTACAGGCCTGTAGGGAGGAAGAAGTCACGGGTGCCCTCGCACCCTCCCCGCCCCCTACAGGTTCCAGAGGTCCACTTTTTTAAACATATAAAATTGTTCTAGTGAGGCCTTAAACTGCTGTTTAAAAAGTAAAATCTAAAATCCAAGCTCTCGCCGATCAACGGTATCATCAGGGATGAGAAAATATTCCGCGCGCGCTATATAAATGAATACATTGCACAGTTGTACCCATTTTTCCAGCCTCTTCTGCTGACTGGTCGTCACTGATGGACTGTTTGGCAATGTCCTTGGAATGTGTCCTTTTATACAAAACATATAAAAGAAGGACGAGGAGAACATCCTGCAAAATCATTAAATGCGCATTACACAAATTTTAAATAGCTTCAGGTTTGCCCTAAAGGTCATTTTATTTCCAGTGGCTACAAGTCACTTCTCCAGATCTTCGAAAATACAAAGTCATAATTATGCGTCAGTCAATTCCAGCTGCACCCAGCACCCCCACCCCATCCCCCCCCCGGGCTTACCCCCGGGCATTAGCATTTTTTTTTGCCTTGGATGGCAAATTCCTGGGGGTGGGGACTCTTTAGCTGTAAAATCCGCCGAGGTGGGGACGAAAAAAGAGGGCAAACGCCCTGTCCTCAGTCAACACTGCAACAGTTTTCATTAATTGCACAGTCAAATAGTACCGTTTTAAACATTTTAATGTGCAATTTTTTGTTTCAAGTAATGTAATAGCACTAGGCTTCTAATTAAGACTTCACACCGCGATGACATGCACCAGTTTATGGTTTTAGTACCGATATAAAATTATTGACATTAAAATTAATAGAATGCTGTAAAGCTATATGTCATGAATAGGTTATAAATATGAAAGGTGTTCTTCAAATACTATCAACAGACATTTGATTCACTAACTAAAAAACGTTGATTCAGGTTGATAGTTTTGCTAGGTAATTTTGGCTTGATTTGCGATGAAGAAATGCACGCATAAAATTGGGAACATGCCTTTATAACCCCCTGTCCTTGACAGATGAGCCAATCTGCTTTTTTCCCAGAAATATTCTCTGTATAGTTATATTCTGATAGGAAACTGAGTGTGTGTCAAAAGCTCGGGAATACCCCCGGGACTGGCAAATGTCCAGGCCCCGGGCAGCGCAAAATTTGCAAATACCCCACCCACAGGACTGAAAAGGCGGGCAAATGCCCCGGGGGGGGCTAGGCGCAGCTGGAATTGACTGATGCTTTAAGCTTAAGTTATAGTACAGAGATAAAGAGGATGGGTACGAGGCCAACTTTCGAAAAAAATTAATAATGTCACTCTACTACAAACGATCATCATAGCGCGTGCGAAAATATTCTTTTCAGCTCGATACACGAAGGATGCATGGAAAGCATCCCATTGTCGAGTAGACAACAAATTACATAGGCTTCTAATGAAAATCTGTATTGTATTTAAAGGTCGAGGAGAAATTGTTTGGTTTTAATATGCGCATGCTGAAGTAAGCTTATTTTAGCTTAACATTTAGCGTACAAGCTTCTGGTTGATGCCAATCGATCAATGTCCGTTAAAAAATCCATCGCGATTAGCAAAATAACAACCTTGAACGTTAGTATGCCACAAAGTTAGAGCTTACCGGGATTACTTGAAACTTTCATACCATCAGGGAGCAGCTTTTGCAAAACACAGACGTATAGACTCAGGGGCGGATCCAGGATTTTTTTTAGGAGGGGGTGCACTCGTCTCTTGCTCTACTTCAACACCAATCAACCACATAGTTTTTTTTTTTTGCAGAATACCAGTTGTATTAGAAAACCGCAGGTCATCTTGGGGGAGGGTGCGCACCCCCTGCACCCTCCCCCTAGATCCGCCCCTGAGACTTGAAAATTGGTGACAAGTGGTAAAATTGCGCTAAAATCAGGGGGGTTTGGCCATATTAGCTAGGCGTTCTCTGGCCCGCTCTTTCCCAGACTTCGCGCGAACAACGGGTCGAGACACTGTGTCCCCAAAATATTTTTCCCCAAAACGTTAGAATATGTCAACATTGTTCATCTAACAATATTGAGAACAAATTGCACTTCATCTTTCATTGTAGTCTCCACAGCCACGTAAGAGAAAAGCTCTTTGATAATGTCACTTTTAATCCCCGATCTTCACTAATCTCAATACAATAGATAAAGTATTTTTTCTTTTCAATAATGTAGACCCATTAATTTGTAAAAAGCTAGGCCCTTTCTAGCCTGAAATTCATCCGATTGCTTCGAGTCATTTTCTCCTCTCAAGGGAATAATAACGACTCGAAGTAATCGGATGAAATTCAGGCTAGGCCCTTTCATTTTTGAAGGATTCCAAAAAAGAAAATGGTAAAAAAGCGTTGTTGTCGTTATTGTTGTTCCGAAACCGCGCACTGACACGCTTGCTATGCAGGCTTTACATCAATGCCCTCGATTTCGCGCCTCACTGGCGTTATTCACATTTAAATTAATTTGTTTCAACACAGGTAGCCCAAGCTCGAAATGTTGCGTCAAACTATAAGGATTAGTATGGGAAAAAAAACCTATCGTTTCTCTAACCTACGAAAATGAAAGGATTACAATAAAAACAGCTTACCTTACTTAAAATGTGTGTTATGTCTCTCGTGTGTGGTCCACGGACCGATTTATTGCCGTTTTATTGGTTTTTATGTGAACGATTTTCTCTCTATGTAAAGGTTTACATTTTCGTAGGTTAGAGAAACGATAGGTTTTTTCCCATACAAATCCTTATATTTTGAATGTTACGTAACAATGCCGATGCTCGCCGATGCTAACCTGAGATCAGGCTCTATTTTCGGTTTCGCTGTGAAAATTATCTCAGGTTACGCGGATGCTCATATTTCGAGCTTGGGCTACCTGTGGTTTCAAGGGAGCTAAAGCGTGTGAATGAAACCCGTTCTGGAGAGCTTTAATTCAGTTTTCGGTGTAAAGGAATTAAAAATTCACCATATCTGTGACTGGAAGAAGCGTAAACATGGAAGGCAGCAAAGAAATGAAATGTTCTTGGGGTGCAATTGTACTAACTTGTCGCAAAAGACAAAGTGCGTTTGCTTTTCAACGAGGTAAGACGATATTAATTATTCATCTTTTCTGGTTGTCGAACCTATGTCATCGAAAAATCGACATTACGGCCGTTTATAATAGAGAAAATAAGCCGCGGGTAGACGCGAAAGGTACGAAAGGCTTATAAAATGCGAACTGCCTTAGGGAGCCCAAACGCTTATGAATCGTTTTGGAAGGGATTTGAACTGGAGATAGAGGACTTTCATGTGAATGGAACGCGAAAGTTAACCTTTACGTCTTCGATTGATAGTAAGGCGTGATTGTCGCGCGGCAGATCCCGCGAGAGGGGGAAAGAGATGGCCCTCGAAAAATTGCGGTACTTTCAGTGTCGGCGGCTAAAGGTGAACATTTACCTCGCCTAGCCACCTCCGTTTCGGTGAATAATGATGATTTTAAACTCATTTATTGCTGCCAAGGATTAACGGCCGTCATGTTTTCTTGCCAACAAATACAGCATTTGAAGGATTTGTTTAGTTGCGGGGACATTTCTTCCAAGGGAGTCATACGTGCCGTATTTGATTTAGTTTAAAGCTTATTTATGAAACGTGTCACCTGAATGAATTATCGCGAGACTTAATTTGCATAAAATTGTAAACAAGAAACTTTTCCACCAGTTTCATTGATAAATCAGGTTTATAGACAAAGCTACGCCTTCTTTGTAAATAAACTAGGAATAATCGGACCTTACGAGAGTGCGTTCGATATGTTTGTTAGGCAGGTATCAGTTGATGGGGAAGGGTGGATGGTTCTTGCGATAGATAACTGATTATGGTATATTTTGAACGTAAGGGTTGCGTGCAGCGAAACCTCTATTCAAACTGTGTATCATTATGAAAAGGTTTTGAAGGCTAGTGATCAGAGTGATATCTTGGTTCGTCTCAAGTGCTTGTATTAAATCCACCATCCATCTTAAAGTCTCGGTGTGTTATCTTGTAATGACCTGAAGTGAAAATTAATGAACCAACTACGTATACGTACATCAACAACAATGGTTGTCTGTCACGCTTGACTAATCTTGTTTTGCAGTTGACAATCGAGTCAAGAGCCATCGAGTTAATATCGCTTAACAAGTGCATTGTTTTAAATGCATATATGGTTTTAATGTATATATTGTAGATAATTTTCTATATCAGGAAACTTTTATTTTTTCGCGTTGTTGGGTATGATATTATGTACGCTAATGAATTTGAAACAAAGGAAAAACAAAAATTATCTGAAATAAAAAAAAAATAGCTGCAACATATATTAAACAGTGAATTCCTAATTCCTTCAACTCCGGTCATATTAATGTCCCGGTGCCTTTTCTGCAAGAGGCCATCTAATAGAGTGATCGAATAAAATTGTTTAGCTGGGAATTTTCAGATCAAATTTTGCAGCAAAAAAGTCTATATTTATGTGGCAAACTGTGCCATTTCCTCGGGGTATATAATTTGGGCATAGAACAATTACCGTGTCATTTTATTGATAACATTTAATTTGAAAATTTCAGAGGCTACAAGGTGTCCAAAAGCTAGCTAATTAGCCTTAAACTGGCAGTTGAGTTTGTTTTTTGGTGCAGATCATGCAATTTCATATCCTTCTAGATAACAGTTTCTTTCTCCATTAGAACTTGAAATACTTCAAAACAAAGGATTTATTGAAAAAGATGTGCTGATTTTGACCTTGGAGGATCCCAAAGGTGGCGTTGGAAGTGGTGGTGCCACGCTTAATGCCTTACTTGTGGTCACAGAACATCTGAGTGCTAAAGCAGGCTTTGGGGTTGGTAATAATTATGACTGTATAACTGACTATTTTTACTTAAGACCTTTTCTATTAGAACATTTTTTTTGTCTCATGTGCACACTTAGATGCAACCAACTGTAACTGTCTGTCTCAAAGAGGGATGTAGTTCAGGGGCACCCAACAAGGATATAGTTCAAAACCACTTAACATAGCATTGTTGAACGTATTTTAGTATTCCAACGGTAGATATAGGCATATTTTTATCCCCTAAAAACTTTTCATCTGGTCGGATTTCCTAGCTGAAAGTCGAGTGATCCGAAAATTATAGGGATAAAAACTTACCTTCTCGAAAATTTCAGCCAGGAAAAGGCTCCCGAAAATTCTAGGTGGCCTTTCTTAGGGTCAAAATCCGTTAAAAATGGGTAATCATACCATTTTGTAGATGTTCAAAAATCCTAGGAGAGGCAGGCAAGCAAGAAATTTTACAACAAATGCTCCAAGAATTTTAGATCTAAAATTGTCTTCCGAACAGATATTTTCTGGAAAATTGCCGTTGTGTGTCCCTGGGTGTTGGCCGTATTATAATCAGTTGTAGATAACCGTTTATTAGCTAGCCCCAATGTCCTGATTTGCAAATTTTCCATACTGAACTCCGCACACACAAAAAAAGTTATCCTCAAAGAATTAGTGGAGGGAATTTAATTTATTTAAAGATAAAAGATCAATGCATTTTCCCTTAGGGTTATCATTTCATTAATGTAAAATGATCACCTTAGGAAATACTTTGATCTTTAACAAATTCAGTTTTCTCACTTAACCCTTTAAGCCCGATGGTGACCAAGATCAATTTTCTCCTAACGATATCCATACCTTGTCAAGAGATAAGGTTATGAGAAGTAATGAAGTTATCACTAAAGAGAAAATGCTTTGATCTTTTATCAAATTCTCTTAACTAATTCTTAAAGGAAAGGTATAGAGATCAGTTTGGAGAATTGGTATGTGGATATTGGGGCTTAAAGGGTTATTTCTTGAAGGAAATTTGTTTTTTGTTAGCAAGCCATACAATAGAACTTGATTTACAAACCCTAGTCAGCTGTTTTATAAAGTTTTATAAAATTTTGATAAAAAGTTTTGTAAAATTTTATAAAACCGAATGGCAATTCTGTATTGCAATTTTTAAAAAATTTTATACATGTTTATAACGTTTTCCCATGTAAAATTGTATAAAATTTTATAAAAGGTATCAAAATTATATGAAAATTGTAAAACTTTATGAAAAGACAAAAATTGTTGTTGCTAAATTTTCTTTTATAAAATAATATAAAAATACATAAAACCTTGCTTTGAGACAGAGCAGTTTCAAATGATGCTGCAGTTTAATTTTTCAGAAGTGTGCAAATGTGACATTGTCATAGCAATATTGACAGGAACAGACCAACTGACTTTTATTTCCATTTTTCTTCCAAATTACTTTGGTTATTAATACACAACACTAAGCAATTTAAGTTAACATCATTCGGTCAGTTCAAGTCGCTGACAATTCATAAAAAATTAACATGTTTCATTGCAAAACATTTAACTTTAAAGACACTCAGAGTTTTCTAACTGATTCAATGGCACGAGGGAAAAATGGCTTATTTACGCCTTATAACAATTTGAATAAAACCGTGAAAAAACATGTGAACTGTTCAATTTCACATGTTTTCTGACATGGTTTTCACACCTTTTTCCTATGGTGTGAAACCATTGAGACCCTGTGAACAGGGCATTTTTCACAGGGTCAGAACCTATGCGAAACTCTGTGAAAAACCCTGTGAGTTTTTAACCTGTGAAAATACCTGTGAAAGACCCGGTGTGAAAAACCTCTAAACTTTCACAGTGTTTTTCACGGGGTGGAAAATCTCAAAACCTGTGAACAGGCCTTTTTTCATGGTCAGAACCTGTGGAAAAAACTCTGAAATGGAGGAGTTTACCTGGCAGCTGTATGTTGCCAACCCCCCCACCTCCGCCCCCCAGAAAAAAAATACAATGTTGAAGTCTGATTTCTGTTCCCAAGTCAAATAGAACCTCAACGCATGCATTTAAGCTGTATAACCTGATAAAATAGTATGTATTTAGCTAACAGTGATCCTGTGTGTTTTAAATTAGAAGGAATTTTAATCGGATCGGGAGATGGTTAACATTGCCAATGTTAAATGTCTGCTTGTCTAAGGGGTTTCAATTTAACAACCACGAGAAGAGAAAAGAGACAAGAGATGAAACTCGACTGTCGCGGTGCTTGTACGATATGTGACTCCAGTTGACTTGATGATCAGTCCTACTCGTGGAAATGTGCATGGAAACTGGAACCGGCAGCCTTTGACTGCAATCTCAGGCACTCTTGACATGAATTAATCTCCTTTTCATGCATGGTAATTGCAATGTTGTTTTAAATTAAATCACTTGGAAGTCGAATTATATTTTTTCGGATATTTTCCTCAAATGCAGTGTCCAGATATAAGAGAACTGAAATTATTATCAGAATCATTGCATATTTTTACCAAGAAATTTTTACCAAGGAATCCTTGTCACAGTATTATTGGACATTTTTCCTTTTCATCAGTGAAAAATTGGTCTAAAACATTAAAATTTACTACAGAGCAACACGACATAAGTGGTAAAATGTGTCTCATGCATTCCACGTGGTATCGTCTGTTTTTCTACTTCCAACACATCTAAGGGTGTCAAATCCAAACAAAAGTGACTGTCATGAGAACATAGAACCATCCTGACAAAGCACATGTTTAATACGACAACTTACTTCTGGTCAAGTCAAGTGTAGTCACAGACTAGACGAAAAGTAGCCTCTAAAAACAACACAATTCTAAGCAAAAAATGGGCGTCAAAACAACACCGTATAATTGAACCTTTAAATAATAAATAAAGGTGTGGGATACTAGCCGATTTTGTCTAGTAACAAAGGAATTATATGCCTCAAAATAAAATTGCCCTTATTTAATCCCCTTAATAATTGTCTCTTTTCTCTCTTCCCCTTTTTACCAAGGAGAGTTAACAGATAACAATATTGGGAACTTGATATGTAACTGACATTGCATCGTATTTATGAAGCACCAGGCAAACAACCATTTGATACTGGCAATTCATCTTGCTAGCAATGTTTGTCATTTCTGATCCGATTCAAATCCCTTCCAAAATTACTCGCAAAGAAACAGGAACACAGGTAAATACATCTTATTATTTTGTTAGCTAATGCAGCGTAAATACGTCTAATTATTTTTTTAGCTAATATCTCATATAAAACTAGACAAAATAAATTGGATTCTGATTGATGATGGTCTTCTTAACTTTAAAAAATGTAGGGATACTCACATTCAGTAGTCTTCAAATAACCACAATCTTTTTGTCAGATGAACTGGCATGATATGAATGCTATATACTGAGTGCTTGATTCAGCTTGGCCATCAAGGCAGTGGCATTTTTACAGAAGTCTTTATTACTGTTCATAAAACGTATTTAACTTCATTAGTTGATTAGTTTTCATAGTCAGGTTGGTGACAAAAAAAGTAGTTATTTAGTTTTGCAACAATGTGAAATAAAAATCTGAAACAGAGCACAGATGAAAGGTGCTTGTTACAAGCTAAAAAAAAAAGAAAAGTTCTCAACTGTAAGAAATACTGTAACTTAAAACTACTAGATGGAAAGGTGTTTAAGGATTAAGTTTCAAAACCATGAGGGCATGCATCCAAAACAGTGAAATCACTGGGTTATTAAAAACTCGCCCCATGTAAGGGAATCCCGAATCCTTGGCCTTAGAATCCAAAAAATACAGCTCAATGACTGAAATCCAGAATCAACTGCATGGAATCCAGAACATGTAGGACAGTATTAATAAAAAAAGGATTATGGAGCATAAACTGAAGTGTTCATTACAAGAACTTTGCTGCATAGTTGTTGTCTAAAACAATTTAACAGCTCAATTTCAAATGAGCGTATACAACCTGTTTATAGTAGAAAAATAAGAAGAAGCAGATCTGGAGAAAAAGCTTAAATTCTAGTTCCTTTCTAAACCATTGTCTAAACCTTGTAAAAAGGGTAAAAAAATATTATAAAAAGAGAACCCCATTCATCCCAAATTAAAGGAAAGGAAAGCACTTACCTTTTCGGCCAGTCTTTGATTATTTCAAAAATGAAAACTCCATAGAAGAAAGAATTACAAATCGATGTAGGGGGAAAAATATCTCTTGTTCTTGTTCGCTGTTCAGCTGCGAATGAAGAGAGTTTGGCAGCCGCGTTCAGAAATTCGCGCCAAAACCGCCAAAACACGGGTTCTAGGATCCAGTCTTTCACCGTCCCGTCCGAGTGCGGCCATCTTGGTTTCTGGACGTTCGGATCGAGCTAGATCGTCGATCTTTGTGCATATTCTTTTTGTTTGACTGGTTAAATTAATGAAAAAATATGTGAGGGACAAGCATGAGATCTAAACTGACGTCAGAATATTAAAGGAAACTGCTTCGTGCATCGCTTTGAGTTGGCAAGTGCAGTCAGTAGAACCGTTTATGATATTTTTACCACAGGTAACCCAGGCTCTGTGATAGTACCACAGTACGGTTCCAGTAAAATTACAGTGTTTGTATGGGGTAAAAATATCATCCTAAAATTTCTAGGAAATACTAAATAAAGATCAATGAAACTTACTCTGCAGTTAATTGTTGTTGTCCTTATTGCTCCAACGAAGTTTCGTGATAATTTGCACTAATTTGTTCAAATTCACTCTATCTACAATAATAATATACAAGGTAGGAAACACGAGGTGCCATTTTCGCCGACATGCTCTCATTCAACACAACTTTTTCCACGAAATTCGAACTCCAACGGAAAATAAACATGCCAGGATCGTAGAAATAGGATAGCAGCAGATATAGAAACCAATGAAGCTTTCCCAGATAGAGAAACGAATCCCACAGAGTTGGACAAACTCGAAGAATATAATCCAAACACACCGAGAATACGCTTTGTCAAGCAGCCGGGCCAGATCAACGCTGCCAAGAAAATGAAGCCTGGGCACTGTACAAAAAATTCCATCCCGGGGGTCCTGGGGTGACCTTTCTAGGGACCGATACATCATTTGCCCAAGGCCACCCTCCCCTGCTGGAAAAATACTTGATAGAAGGCAATTGTTCTTCCTAGCCAATCACTATGGCCTGTTATAAAGAGATTATTTTCCTCTCGAACTATATTCAGCTCCTGGCGCTGATCCTCAGAAAGTTTATCAAACATCAATAGGGCAAGGTTATAAGGGCAAAGGAAAGAACAACGAAGGAGGATTTACGAAACTTAAAACGAGCAAAAGTTATAAGTGAATTTTGGCTCTTACCGAGGCATTTGTACAACAGGACCAAATTCAAAGAGAGGTGTATCTCGATGATTCACATATTTAACCGATAGAGCGTTCACTTGTATTGACAAGAAGTCGGCGTGTTACTGCCGCATTAATCGCTAAATATGTTAATCTCGCTAGTTCTTTGTTTACTAGTGCACGTGCCTTTCACATTCGTCTCAGTTATCGCAATTCATATTCTGTCGCAATTTTCTCTATAATTTTTGACATTAGTTTGTAAGCTTCACCGTTTATTTACGATAGTTTCGCTCGAGAGTTCACAACAACAGTATCTCAGTCATCATCTACCTTTTGTTCAACCTTGTTTTTAGCCCGCCTTGTAAGCATTTCGCGTTGTTTTTTCATTAGTTTCATTACTGTTATTTGCATTCCTTAGTAAAAGAAATGGGACGCCTTGTAACTTCGCAGACTCTCCTGATTATATTACTTTTTTTTTAGCCATTTAAATTCAGGCGCGCGTGCGGGGTTTGCTCTGGCAAATGGTGATTGGCTAAGAAGAACAATTGCCTTCTATCAAGTATTTTTACAGCAGGGGAGGGTGGCTTTGGGCAAATGATGTATCGGTCCCTAGAAAGGTCACCCCAGGACTCCCGGGATGGAATTTTTTTGTACAGTGCCCAGGCTTCATTTTCTTGGCCGCGCATTGATCTGGCCCGGCTGCTTCGGGCGAGCGTATTCTCGGTGTGTTTGGATTATATTCTTCGAGTTTGTCCAAGTCTGTGGGATTCGTTTCTCTATCTGGGAAAGCTTCATTGGTTTCTATATCTGCTGCTATCCTATTTCTACGATCCTGGCATGTTTATTTTCCGTTGGAGTTCGAATTTCGTGGAAAAAGTTGTGTTGAATGAGAGCATGTCGGCGAAAATGGCACCTCGTGTTTCCTACCTTGTATATTATTATTGTAGATAGAGTGAATTTGAACAAATTAGTGCAAATTATCACGAAACTTCGTTGGAGCAATAAGGACAACAACAATTAACTGCAGAGTAAGTTTCATTGATCTTTATTTAGTATTTCCTAGAAATTTTAGGATGATATTTTTACCCCATACAAACACTGTAATTTTACTGGAACCGTACTGTGGTACTATCACAGAGCCTGGGTTACCTGTGATTTTTACCTGTCGTTATACAGAAGCAGAAGCTCAATATACCGTATGGAAGAAAAAAAAGTACTGTAAGGTGAGTACTTACGGCTGTATTTCAGTGTGGTCATTATAATTACACAACACAACTTTCCTTGCTTTCTTTGATTTAAGCTTTAATGCATGCACGAACCTTGAGCCAATGCTTCTTTATAAATTCCAAATCTGAGAGCTTTTCCTGTACAAATTTAACACACTTTCAAATCTAATAAATTCTTATCATTCTTTACCAGGTCTGCAGTTAGGGTGGACAGACCTGCTTGAATATGCTGCTTATGATAGGGTCATCCAGTGAAAGAACTTACTCTTACAGCGGGCCGGAGATTGAGCCACTTGAATTATTAGGGAAAACAGATAAGCATATAAATCTGGACTTTTACAGTAGCTTATAAAAAGGCTTAAGTTTTGTTTTTCTCTGACTAAGAAGCTTCCTTCTTTTAAGTTATTATTTGATTATTTGATTATTTGGTTCTTGAAGAGTGAAAGTTATATTGAGTTTCACATATTCTATTTGCATTCACTTTGGAGTCAATATTTTGCGAAGAATAATGCGGATGGAGCCCCCTTGATGGCTGCATAATTCTCACTAAAGACAAATCGGCAATAATTGTTTTAATATAATATTCATTCAAAATTATTCCCAAGTTTAAAACGTATGTAAGTTGCTGCCTCCATGTTCATAATATAATACGTGTATTTGCATGTTTTTTTGGCAGTGGATGTTTAGTTGCGATAGCAGATATTCTTCAAATAGCAGTTGTCACCCTTCATTCCTTAATTTATTTTAAGCAATACAGTAGAACCTCAGATAACTCAAATTTCTTGCTAACTTGAACTAAATTTCCCTTCCCTTAACTTTGTTAATTTCACTGAAATTTACCCCATAACTTGAATTCCTTGCTAACTCAAACTGTTTTTCGTTTCCCTTCAGAGTTTGAGTTACTGGGGCTCTATTGTAGTTATTTTTTCTTCGTAAAATTTAAGACTGAATCTCCACCATTTTCACCATCTCCACCCAAGCAGTTGAATCACTCAATCTCCATCATTTTCACCATCTCCACTCAAGCAGTTGAATTACTGTGCTCCTACTGTTGGCCTTTTCCTCGATTAGTATCAGAACAATATGGATATTAACTGTCCTGGTATTGGTATATTATGTCTTCCTAAACTAGTCAATGGTAGCTGGTTGTGGAGAATTATCTGGGGGATTTTAGCCAATCAGAAACAGACAAATACTTTCAAATGAACAATTAACATATATGAACAACATTTCAGAGCTCCATATTTTCACTAGCTTTAGGTTTAACCTATTTTTTTAGCATCTTGACCAAAACTATCCTATCAATGATCAAACCTACGAACTAATACATCATTTATCATGGGAACTTGGCCTCCCTTGCAAAAAGTATAATACTACTTGAAGCCCAATTTTTCCCAGTCTTCTCTTCTACTTTCATTCAAATTCTGTGAAAAAATACATATTTATTGTTTTGACCACCAATAATGGCCACCTGTTCAGGTGGCTGCAAACCAAAACGTACACTGACATTGCTATTGATAGAATTAGAGGGACTGAATTATAAAACTTATACATCAATATTAATTTTTTTATTTATGTGTACTTTGTGGGAGGGTGGGGGTAGTTTGGGCAAGAATCTGTCTGAAATCCCTTTCCCCTGTCAGATTGACGTGGTCATCCTATGAAAACAATAATAAAGGACTTAAAGGAAATTGCTAATTGATATACAGTCAAACCTCCACTTATGGCCACCATTTTTCATAGCAGGACTGGTGTCCCTCCCTTTTTTTTCGTTTCCTGTTTCAAACAGGTCTTTTATATAGCCATGCAAACATGTTTTATTCCCAAAAAATGGTGTCACACAAGTCGGTCCATCTCCCCATACTGGCCATTTAGTAAAAGATTATTGCAGTTATGTTCACAACTTGACAGCAGGTTTTCTTTTCTGTAACTACTTATTCAGTTCAAATGTATGATTTTCAAACAATCACTTTCATTTACTCATCACTGAAAAGATTATTTATTCATGAACTACCAAAGAAAAAACATCTCCCAGGGTTATGGGTTCCCATCCAATGCGAGGCCGAATTTTTTTTCTGGTGTCCTTTTCCCCTACTGCTTATTGATATGACACAGCCTACTACATAATACTACATTATTTTTTCCATACCAGTGACTGTAACCGTTACTTTGGGCAGCATGAAACTCTGAGTAGCAAAACAAAATAATGTCTTGCACCAAATCATCCAGCTTTTTATTTTACTTAATGCATGTGTTTTATTTACAGACGTGTTAAATAATTATATAAGTACAGCACATTATTTATTCCTTCATTATTTGCAGTGTGTCTTTGTAAATTTCTGTTATCAATTTCATTTTTTTCATTTCATTTTTTGTTCACAGGTGTTATCATATAGTTTTCCAGAGGTGTTTCTTAAGCAATTTTCTCAAAATTTGTTCCAAGGTTTTTTCACAGGGTTTTTCAGAGGTGTTTTTAGGCAATTTTCTCAAACTTTGCCATAGGTTTTTTGACAGGGTAATTTTCACAGGCTTATTTGAGTCACAGGTTTTTTCACAGGGTCCTAAATTTTGAAATTTTCTCAAAATTTAGGCTGTGCAAAATTCACAGGTTTTTTCACAGGGTCCTAAATTTTGAAATTTTCTCAAAATTTAGGCTGTGCAAAATTCACAGGTTTTTTCACAGGGTGTTTTCTTGTGACAGGGTATTAATTCACATATTTTTCACAGTATTTTCACAGGTTTTCATCCAATATTGAAAATATCCCATCTTAGGCCATGAAAAACTCACTCCTGTGCATCAGAAATTCAGGGCTTCTGTGCCAAATAATTTATAAGATTTACACAATATACTGGGACTTTCTAAATATATGTTATATATACAGTCAACTCTTTCAAAAGGAACTTGAATTAGTGCATGGCATTATTAGAGGTTGTATTAACAGAAGGTATCCACTCGTGGTGAATTGTTTCATGGACACTGATATAAAGATAAATATCATTCGCGGCTAAAAATTGCAAGTTCTCCTTTGTTTTTTTTTAAGCAATTAATGTACAGTACACTTTTACTGGTAAATGTGTCACTTGTTAGAATTAAAATCACGTCAGAGTGCAATTTTGACCAAACAAAACCTGGGAAAACTTCAAACAAGGGGTGCCAAAAACCGGTCAAGTAGTTTCGTGACATTTGAGCAATTATAATAATTTTTTTTTGTACATTACAGAGTTGTGTTTGGTCTAAAATTTTATAAAATTATATGCAATTTTATAAGTGCATGAACTATTGTGAATTTTGTTTTATAAAAACATACAAAGTTTTATGAAATAAAATATAATTTTATAAAAGTGTGAAGTTTGTAAAAAATATTTCATAAAATCATGTAAAAATCTACAAAATTTTATGAAATTTTATAAAATTTTATAAAACAGCTGACTAGGGGACTACTACCTTGCTGACTGCAGACATTTATTGAAGAAAAAATTCCAATGCAACTTTTTTACTTAGTGTTAAGCCTGCTAACTGGTTACAACTCCTTTTATTCTTGCAATAGGTCGTTACACAAAGTGTTTTGAAGAATGCAAGGATACTCATCATGCATATGGCATGTACTAATCTATTATTACTCTCATCATCATTATCACATTATGTAGCTTTTTCTCAGTGTTTTTGAGCTGATCATTGACAAGATAGCAAGTCTCTATGGTAATAAAGATTGAAATTGCTGCGCAGCGTAGTTACTTAATGTTAATTTGAAAACTGTAAAATCGACGCTGTTATTTCAAGCGACTTAACCGACGTTTTTGCAATGCTGCCTTCTACGGGGTACAAGACTAATCTTGTACCATGAACAAGGCAGCATTGCCAAAACGTCGGTTTTTTAGTCTTATAAAAAACAGCGTTAATTTTACAATTATTTTCAAATTAACATTAAGTCTCTATGGTACATGATAATCTCTTCAGTTACATCTTCCTGGGAAGTACGCCACATGGTTAGCTCATTTGGGAGAGCGCCGGTCTGCTGAGTGGGAAACCACGGGTTCAAACCCTGGCTGAACCATCACTCATCTTAAAATAACTGAGGAGAATTAAGTGCTATCTTTGAATGAAATCTGCAAACTAAATTTCCTAGCCTTCTCACAGCAATTTCACTTGATACATAGTTCTTGTGGGATGTAAAAGAACCTACACTGCTGTTCGGAAAGAGTAGGGGACATAGACCCTGGTGGTGTGGCCAACCTTTCTTGGGCTGGGTATGGGTTATTTGTAAGGAGACGTATTTTAATTAATCTTAATATATAGGGATAACCTCATGATCCTCCTTCAGGTGTCGTAATGGCTACCTGTAAACAGTGTATGTTCCAAATTTTAGTAGAACATAAATATAGTTTTTTTAACCGTGTTGTAGATGAATGGAATGGTTTACCCAATCATATTAGAGAATCAAACAGTATTGCAACTTTTAAAAGAAATGTGTTAAGCTTTATTAAGGATAACTAGAACATTTATATTTCTATTTGTATATATTTTTCTTATATGTTAATTAGTGGGGGCATCCCTAGTATGGTGCATTGGTGCTTTTGGTTGTCTCCTTCTCCACGACTTTTTTTTTTTCTTTTTTTGGTTGTTTGTTAAAGTAGTGTTATTTCATTTCATTATTTGCTTGTTATGCAGTGGAGTCAATCTGTAATAAATAGTATGTATGTATATATGTGAGCATAAATTTGTTCTGGTTATATCGGACTGAAATTTTCATAGAAATTTGTAAGTAGTGAAGTAATAGAGTAGTTAAGTGTGACGTCATAAAAATGAAATTTCTGAAATTATGGGATTTGTCAGGATATTCTGAAAGAACAATGTCCAAGAGGCCTACTTGCCAAAAATGAGCATTTCGGGGCAAATTGTCTCTGAGATCGTAGCCCAGTTATGCTTAGAAAACTCCATACAAACCCTTCTAAATTTTTTGGGTCGACCCAAAAAATAGTTAGAAGGGTTTGTATGGAGTTTTCTGAGTAGAACCGGCTAACATTTCAGAGACAATTTGCCCCGAAATGCTCATTTTTGGTAAGTAGGCCTCTTGGACAAATTGTTCTTTCAGAATATCCTGATAAATCCCATAATTTCACAAATTTCATTTCAGTTATGATGTCATCACTTTAGTACTCTATAGCTGTAAAAACATTCTTTGATTATATATTTTTTTCTCAATTGAAATATTTTTTCTTATGTTATCTGAGATTTCTTTCCTACTGTGTGTGTTTTAGGGTTGGGATTTTCCATTAAGCTCTTGTGGATGGTTCTTCAACACTCTCCCGGCGAAGCACAATGAAAAATGTAAAGAGTCTCTGTGTGATTCTGTAGTGTCAAACTTTGACTATGTGCTTACAGTTATCTCAGCAACGGTAGGCTTATTTTACATCTTTTGTTTTATTATTTATTGTTATATAGCTGAAATTTTTCCCTAAGCGCATTTAACCTCTGAGACGTTTAAGTCACCTGTTAATTGCCTCTGAACGGGATAGGGTGGTAACTCGCCCGATGTGTATTTGTTGTTCTTTAAGCCTGACAAAAAGAAATAAGCTTGGAAAGACAGTGACTGCACATGTGGAGTCCAAGGTTAACTGAACTAAAGTAACATCTCGGAGAAGTTGGTTCACTATGTTGTAGAGTGTTGTATGTTATCGGGTGAAGATAGCAGTCCTAGCGAACGCCTCCGGGCGAATCGACTGTCGGGCGAAATGACCGCAATTCGTCCGAACGATGCACTTAAAAGAAGAAGTGTAAGTTTTCAGACGATAAATGCGTGTCTTATTTGGACGTTAGAACGACTTTAACGTCTGAGTCGACAAGATGGACATGACACTAGCCTGTGTTCAGTTTTTGGATTCCCGAATGTCACTAAGGTTGCTATTTCAACTCTAAATCTTCTTCTGTCTTTAAATCAAACATGGTTGCTCTGGCTATACTTAACCCTCTAGGTCCCAAGAGTGACCAACATCAATTTTCTCTTTTCAATATCAGCAGATCATCAAGAGTAAAGGTTATGAGAATTACTAAATTTATAACCAAAGGGAGAATGCTTTGATGTTAGACCAAATTCTCTCAACTGTTCTTTATAAAAGAAGTGTATGGATCTTGGGGCTTAAAGGGCTTAATCGACTCGGTTGATAAACACTAATTTTTTGTTCTAAACAATAAAGAAATGACTTGACGTTATCGTATTAATGGGTAGCCTTATGACGGAGTTCCACTGTATTGTAGGCTTAATCATTGTAAAGTCAGCGATTTTGTGGGTATTGTGATATTTCGTGACTGTAATCAGTATAACTGTGTTCTTCAATATAGTTATCAGTGAACTCTCCTCCTGGTGTTTGGATCTGCAGTTCTCACATGTTGCCGTCGATTGCTCCAGACGCCCGTAAGTCTTACAAATAGAGAGATTAATCACAACTGAAAGTCTTCCCGGCCAAACGTCTCAGATTCTGTGATCACGCCTTTCACACTACACTTATACATTCAAGAGATCTTATTTGGCAGGGGCTTAGCGTGAGATTTTCAAGGTGTACGCGCGGGAAGAAAAGTTAGACCGTCGAAAGCACTCAGGAGTTTTCCACAGAACGTTTTCATTAATTAAGTACGAAGGAAAATGCAATAGTTGGTTGTTTATTTTACCTACCGGCTCTAGATTTACCGTTATGGTACAGTTAGCTGACAGTGTTTACGGACAATTGGGGGAAAAGTCAAACGCCATCAAGAAGGTTAAGGGCGAGATATATACTCTTCAGTTAGACGGGCAAAGACACCAATATAATGCAAAAAATTGATCAGTCATCCCCGATTTAGTGATAAAAATGCTTCCAGGAAGCAAAAAGAGATTACTTTTGTCATATTTTCCGTCTTCGTATGTACGCATATGTGCGTGTATGGACCGTACGCCCCGGTATGGTATGGTCAAAGCTCTCTTAAGCGACCACTGCCATATTGTAGCGGTCACAACTAGAGCTGGATGTTTACGAGAATGGTCTCTCGTAAGCGACCAAGCGATGATAAACGTATCTATCAGGGCTGTCATTTACGAGAGCTCAGTTTTAGCAAAAGTTTCCGATATACATACCATGCATTCTTTTTGGATTTGCTTAGTTTTTACACTAGTAAGCACAAACTGTGACAAAAAAGTGTTTTTATTTTCTCTTTATTTTTTCAAGGAATTGACTGGGAGAAGTTTTCTAATGGTATCACTGTGATTCTCTCACCTGGGGACGTTAATTACGCAAAAGATCATGGTGTAGCCAAACTTGGAAAAGATGTGAGGGTTTTTAGCATAATTAACGTAAACTTGAAAATAGCTCTCTCAAGAGAGCACAAGTTTACAGTTTTGTTATGTCTCTTGTGCAGTTGCGATTTGATCAGCTAGCTATGTCATATAAGCATGAGACGTAACCTGTTTTGTCGAAGAAAATAACATGTGATTTCTTGCCTGGAAGCAAAAATTTTTCGACCGCACAAGGTGACGCTTATTTATCTGACGAATTAAGTTACAACTCACCATCATGTCATAGCTAGCGTCGAAGATAAAATGAAGCGTGACTTTTTGCATCAAGAAAATTAATATTATTGACGCAACAGGTCACGCTTTACCCTCATGTTACAGTGTATATAGCACCCCGATGAACACAATTGCCCCTTTTTTGCAAAATTTATCTTACATAGAAAAAAAAAACAAATTGATGAAATGACAAGCAACGACTAGAGCGTAGTAGACTCTCCTTGTTTGCGAACTGAATGACACAGTACTTTGAATCTGGCCTTCAGAATTATCGCTTTTCTTACGGTCACGACATGACTGCATAGTGTTACACGGAAACTGTAAACATAGAAACTAAAAAATAATTAATCAGTCAGGTGGATGCACGAATAAGCCTTTCCAGCATCCCGCACCAGAAAGCACACGCAGTGAAACAAGATGGTGACTTGAGTGGAACTGGAAACAAATCACCGTTTTTGTCAGCTTCAGCGCTGGATCCAGACCTGAGATAACGGGGGGGGCGGTCTCCAAAACAAGTCAGTCTGGACTAGACATACATAAGGGGAGGGCGGGCCCCCGGGCCCCTTTCCTGTTCTCGAGAAAGACTGCTTGAATCGAGTAAAATCTTTGTTGAGCATGCGTTTCATGTTGCTAGGATATAGTTTCGAACCCAGGCCTAATAGTCGTGCGCTTGGTACAGCTGGCTCGATTATGACCATCGGTTTGTTCAATAAACAGGCGCACTCGAAAAAGCCGGTTTGACGAAAGAAAACAAGGGGCGCGATCCATTCAACCAAAATTTCCGAAAATTTCGGTCCAAAACTCAATGGATCGGTTCGGTCCAACCGGAAAAGTTTCGAAATAACGGGTCCACCTTTTGAGGTGGACCACTTTTCCCGGTCTGACCGGTTGGAATTTTGGTTGAATGGATCGCGCCCAAGATCGACTTTTCTCGTCCCTACTCAAGAAGAAGACAGAAAGGGACTCTGCTCGCATGGTGTCGTGGGAAGGGTTTCTCAACAAACGGGCGGGTGTGTTTCGCTCCGGTCACTCATCCTGTGTTTTTACTAACATTCACTTTAAGGGCAAAGTAAAGGACATTATCTTCCGAGAAAGTGAGGAGAAAATTAGAAGTTTCGCCCTTGAGAATGGCAAGGTGCCGCTGGTAAGTTGGAAATCCTGTCTAACTGGTAATGAGTATGAAGGTTGTAGAGATTCGTTGAAATGCGCGGTTTTCCGTCATCAAATTCCCATCAGGATTGTTGATTCGCAGCCATGTGACAAGGCGGCCGTGTCACAGTCGATTGGCGAAATAATACAATTTTTTTCGCAGAATTTGCTTGAAAAAAGAGTTTAGTTCCTAGCGGAGGGTAGTCTGCTACACAGGCGTTCTTTGCGTCGTAATGCACGTGAGGAGGAGCTTTGCGTGACGGCTTTGTAGCAGACTAAGTGGCTTTTGTTCTTGTCAACCAACATGGCCGCCTTGATTTCAGCTGTAAATCAGCAATTCTCTAATTTAGGCCCCGTTGTAGTCTGCGAAAACAGACGTTTCTCCTCGCTCATCGTCGCAGGGGGACGTTTCGCGATTAGGAACGTCTGCGACTCAGCGACAAAACTTCCATACTTCCATCTGTCCGGAATCCGGTTATAACCGCTGATTGGACGACAGAGTAGTTACGTTGTTTTAGCTATTGTTTACGAATAACAGACAAAAGGCTACAAAGGTCATTCAAATGTAAACGGGATGAATCTATAACAAAACAGTCAATATTTGTGGAATATATTCTTCTCTAGAAGAAGCATTTGAGTTTTTCTAGAGTTCGTTCGCAGATGAACAGGACACTTTCCGAAAATCGACCAGGAGAAACGTAAAATTGAACAAATTTGCATTTGGAACCCCACGACTACCGATTTATTATGTAAACATTGATTTACGCCATCAGTATGGAATTTCTGTCGCTGAGTCGCAGACGTTCCTCTACGCGGAACGTGCCCAGGGGCGAGGAGCGTGGAGAAACGGCTGTTCTCGTAGGCTAAAGAAGGTGCAGTAAAAACAAACTGTTTCCCTCGGGACCTGACATTTAATGTAATAGGTTATTTACTAGTTAGCAAGTAAAGATATCTTGACTGTGCTCTGTTCTGTTGTAAAACACGCAGGGAGCGGCTAGAGCACCAAAGAAGTGTTGGGGGGGAAACACGAGACGTAGTCTAGTGTTTCTCCCTTCTTGAGTGCTCCAGGGGCTTCGTAAGTGCTTTACAACAGAACAGAGCACAGTCAAGGCTTCATTATTTGTTTTATGATAAAGAATCCGTTAAATTCGCGACGCATTACTTCCAAATGTTCAAAACAAACTATAGGTAAATGGCTGACAGCTCTAGCTCCGTGTTTTATACTCTCATAAAGCAGGCTTTTTCAACCAAGCAGAGTGCGTGTTTATCTGAACTTTATCATAAAAACGTTAATTTTGATTGGCAGGTTAGCGGAACTGTGTTCATGGACATCAAATCTGCCTGCAAGGTTTTGAGTCTTCATGTGTTCCATCCGTTAGATGCTTGTACTTATTTTGGGCTAGACAATGGAGCTGATCCTATTCAGGTATAACTGACATATATATCTAATTTTTATGGTGTTGGTACAGCTATACATTTTCATAAGGACCTCGAAAAATTCGTGATGGCCTTGTCGAATATTTCAAAGAGAAAAGAAAAGGGCAACTAATGCAGCGATGATGTCGAGAACGTCATAAAAAAGCAAGAGTTTAAGCGGAGCAAAAAAAAGAACTTTGCGCGCGCATTCAGTACACTTTATTCCTTTTCCGACCTCTGCATAGACTCGAGTTGAAATTTTCTTATAAGGGAGTGTGTAAACATACGAGTTGATAGCAAATTTTTCTTTTCCTCTCTCTAGTGAATCTGCCTCTGGTTTTTTTAAAGCAAATTAAGTGAGTTGTAATATTCTCCATGCATATAGCCTTGGTCTTCGGCCGTGAATCTCTCCGGTCGTAGGTCAGTGGAAAAAAGCGCCACGCGTTGTTGGGAGTAGTACAGTAGCTCTTTTAGACCTCTATTTTCATTGGGCTAAATAAGCAGTAGCTTCTTTTGTTTTTAGGACTAGGGGTATTGTTTGTGTTGAATCATCTACAGTTTCGTTCTCCAATCACAGACCATTCTAGCACCAAAAAGATCTAAAAGGCGGAGCAACTTTTCACTGGGTTTACACGCAGAAATTTTGGTCTTTGTGGTTAGCAGTAGAGAAGGAATCAAAATATCAACGATTACTCACTGAATGAAGCGCTGCAATTTTTTCTGGTTTGTCCCTTCCTCGTACTATGAGTAGTTTACATGGTACTAGGATCTAGGGACAAGTACAACTTTGTGCATGTAAACTGAGTCCAGAAACCATATGACGCTAGGATGATCCCCCCTCTAGGATCTTCCTGGTGCTAAGCTGGATTAATTGAGGTTTCTGGGTAACTGACCACCTACCCCTCCCCTAAGTCACGATTTTGCCTTAAGTGAGAAGGTTAATGCTGACTTAGGGGAGGGGTGGGCAGGGTACCCGGAAACCTAAACCACGAGTAGTACCCATTTTCCCTCAGGGATAGTATAGCGAGCAAAACGCGAGTGCGCGTGAAAATTACCCCATGCGAAAAAAGGCGACACGCGGCGGGGAGAGAAAACAGAGCAGACAGCCCCTTAAGCCAGCTAACTGTTGGACGTTTCTCCTTTTTTTTTTTTGCTATGCAGTTGTCCATGATATTTGATATCCTTCTTTGTCTGGCCGAGGATGTGACAGAGTCAGCGTTTGTTGAGGGTGAAAGAAGCGGTTCATATGGTCGCTACATCCCTGTAACGATGAAGTCCTCAGAACACCCCAAGAGGACGCTCATGCGCAATGCAAGAGCGATGCTTTGGCAGCGACTAAGGGGCGTGGAGCTGAAAGGAGGTTAATTAACAATTTTTTTTTTTTTTTTTTTGGGGGGGGGGGGAGTTCGCATAATGTGAAGAATTCCCGGAGGGGTACTCGTGGGAATTCTTGGTGGGGGTGTGCAGCTGGTTTTCCAAATCTTAACCCTATTTCAGACCAAAAAATGTCATTTAGATTTGGCCTTTAGATAGAAATTATGTCATGCTGTAATTACTTATATAAGAGCGCAAGCAAACATTTCGTCAAATGCATATTCGAATTCGCATATTTCTATTTTTCTTATTAATTTGGAATTGAAACGATAAATATGTTCATACGCTCCCGTAGTTCCTTCGAAAACCATACCCGACTCCAGACCAAAATGGATAATGTGTATACCCGTTTTCAGACCAAAAAGGCCCAAAAACCCTACCCTTTGGGACGGCACATTCTTATATGGCTTATATAAGGGATTACCCCCCCCCCCCGGGGGGGGGAGAATTCTGCAGATCTCGGAGAATGTTGTCGGCTGAGGTGGATAACAGCCTCCGAGGTCTGCAAAGTTCTTCACCATCTTGCTTCCAAAACTAAACTTGATAACATACACTGTTATCACTAGTTCTACACTTAGCAATGCTTATACTCAAATGTAAAGATTTCTTTCAACAGTCCTTCTTGAGAACGGTACGTTTGATTACTCGAAGCCATCTGCAGAGTGTTATAGGAGACAAATGCTTGACAGCATTGAATTTCTAAGCCAGAGTGGAGTCAAGTTCGATTTCAACAATCATACGCACGTATCGATCTGTAAGGTGAGTACGTTACAACCGACTTTCTTTTCCGAGATCTCGGATGTTTTTAAAGATCTTTGAAAAATAACGTCGAGTTTATTTTTCTAGAACAGCAGTCGTTGTTAAAGGTTATGTTACACGGGACGAATCGCAACAACGATTTTTAGCGCAACACAGCGTTGCAATATTGTCGCGACATTGTTTTGAATGGTTCCAACATTGTTCCAACATTGCAATGCTGTGTTGCGCCAAATGTCGTCGTTGCATATCGTCCTGTGTAAAATTACCTTCAAGACCTTTAGATTCGAGGACGAGGACGACTACACGAAGGAGATTTGAGTTAAAGTTTTTTTCACATATTCTCAAAAAATAGACATCCCTGAAAGCTTCATTTCACTTTTTTCGCTTGAGAAGTTAACACGGTTATTTTTAGCGAAGGAGGTTAAACCCTTTCCCGATCGAAAAATGATAAAGCTTCTAACGTTTGTATTTGATAACTTTTTTCCGTCACTAAGACGTTAGAGACCTGTAGATTAGAGGACGAGCTAGGCCGACTACGAGTACGAGATTTGACTTAAAGTTTTTTTCGCGTATTCTCAAAATATAGACCCCCAGGAAAACTTCATTTTACCATTTTTCACTACAATAGTTAGCAGCGTTACCTTTAGTGAAGGAGGTTACGACTTCTAATTCCGCCACTTTGACATTCTCGCTAAAACTCGTAGTATAATGACAACTGCTACCACTTTTTCCCGCCAAAACGGCGTTGGTTCACGCGCGAACACAACTTAGTACTGAGAAAATCTCGTACTCGTATAGTCGTACTCGTCTTATTCTTAAGAATCTCAAGGTCCATTTTTTCGCTAAAAACGCATAGTAGAGTGACGGCGCCTACAATGTTTTCCCGCCAAAATGACGCTGGTTCACGTGCGTGCACTACTTAGTGTTGAGAAAATCTAGTTCTCGTCTTCGTCCTCGTCTTAAGGTGATTTTACACGGGACGATTCGCAACGACGCTGAAAAGCCCTTTTTAGGGATGCTTAATAAAGTGTATGTATGTATGTCCTCCATAAAACTTGCAATTAGGCATTTTCACGTCGTAGTCTTGCGAGGACGGTAAAGAAATGTACAAAAAAGCGTGATCCCCTTGCAAAGTTGTTGTTTTGCGCAATAAACCTATTGCTTTTTTGACGTCCTCGTTGCCGTCGCCGTCGTCGTTGCTAAAGCTCCCCGTGTTCGGTCAACGAAAGAAACTCTGGAAAGTGTCTTTAGCAAAATCTTGCGAAAATTTCTTCCGTTTTGCAACTTTGCCGAGCTAACGAGTTTTCTTTCAAGATTCTTATTAGCAGTTGCTATTTTGTTGTTTCAGAATTGTACTCCCATTCCAGAATCCTCTGTTGTGATAAATTCGATCGTGGAGGATGGCATCAAGATTGGGGAGAATTCAGTGATCTCTAACTGCCATTTGAAGGTGTAATACTTGTTCATCGTAGTCGTAACGTTATTTTTTAGCTATTTAACAAATCGACAACAATTTTCCATGGTCCCTACTAGTTTTGAAAATTTCGACGCCATTACTTCCGCGAGTTACAATTCCCCCCCACTTAAAAGTCCCCCTATTTATAGGCCCAACTACCTGAAAAAAAAAAATACATCCGGTTATAACCGCCCCCCCCCCCTCCCGAATATGAGCCCCCTAGCTTACTTACATTAAAATGAATTCAACTTTTTACGACGTTTTGAAGCGTAAAAAAGCCGATCAAATTCAAAAAGTATTTTGAACAGCACTGCTATGTAGCTTGTTTTGAGACACTTCTGCGGTCCGATTATAAGCCCCCCCTCCACCCCCACGAATATAAGCTCCTCTTTTTATTAGCCCTCCTAAAACCCCTTACGAAGTTGTATAATCCCAAGGCTTATAATATAGCTTATATAATTTGTGCTCCCTGATGAATTTCGTTTTTATGCTTTATTTGGAGTCTTATACAGTCCTATGTACATCGACTTTATCCAGTAAAATATAAAATCATAACACAAATTCCACACTAGTGGAACTATAATCAATGTTAACCTAAACAACTAATTATCTTCTTTTCTCATAGCTGTCGAATACGTATTTTGCAATTAACTTTTGCACATCTCCCATAATGCACCTTGTTCAGTTTCCCCCCAAAATGTTGCATAAGGTTTTTTTTTATGGGGGGGGAGGTGGTTGGGGGACAAATAAGGTGTATTATGGGAGATTTTCAAGTGACGTAGGGGTGAAGGCACTACGTTTTTGACTTCAGCACAGAATTGACCTAAAACAGCGATATACTCGTGGCATAGCCCCTTTAAACACGAGGTCAATTATTTAATTAGCAACGATTTGGTTAATGCGATTTAACACTGAATGTTTTAAATATTCCAGGGGGATTTGTCCTTTGGATCAGGGTCCATCTTAATCGGTATTTCATCTAAAGCTATGAAGGTGAGATAGTGTCGTCAATCGAATTCTGATTCCATGCTTTGAGCAGTGTGCGTGGTTCTTTTTTGTGATTTTTCCTCTTTGTGATTTTTCGTAGGATGTTCCGTCGGGAGTAACTTTTCCTAACGATTTGTGCGCCATTCACTTCAATGTTGACCTTGGTGATAGACCACAAAGAGTTTTGGTTGTTTTGGGCGCTCTTGATGATCTACAGGTGAGGCTGCTTTTCAGTACCACTAGCGTGTAGCAGCTTTAGCCTCCCTCGTAGACGTTCTTAAAGGTCTGTCACGAGTCCCCCTCCCCCACGTTGGGAAGAATTGACCAGAACGTCTGCGTGGAAGGGTATAACCTCTTAGGGTATCATCCCACCTTCGGTACACTCCTCGCGCGGATCGTGCTAGCGGTTGTAGCCTTAATAATTACCCCTACAAACCGCACATTTTCTAAAAGCTTAATGGCTGAAGATTACGGCTAATTTCTTTAAACAATCCAAAACGCTAACGCGTTTCAGAATTGACGAGCTTTTTGCAAGGGATACATGTTTCTGTAAATTTAAGTCCAGGTCAGCCAAAAACAAACGAAAGAAATCGATTAAGATCGCGTTCGCTTCATGACACGTCTGACTAGAAAGCCGTGACTCAGATTTTTGACGTGTGCGTTTGTTCTTTTGTGATAACTGAGTAGATGAAGTAAGTGATAACAAATCATTAGAATTACCTGTGGAAAAAATGCTATTACTCAAAAACGAAAAAAAGAAATCAAAATTCGCACAATTGTTTTTAGAATAACTATCTGGCAGTCAGTTGGTCAAATTTCAGCCAATTTGGTTCACGGGTTGCCGACTTGTAGTTTTAAGATAAACGCTCAACTTGGTCCGATTTTCATTTTGAGAAAACAGACAGTGAAAATGATGTATTGTCTTTCTCGTCATGCAGACGCCATTTTCATCAGAAAACAGCACGTATTGCAACAAACCATGGCAGACGTTTTTTGATGGAACAGGGATCAGCCCTAATGAACTCTGGTTTGGAGTGGTAAGTGCTGTATACATCTCACTGCGTATTGCACATTTGAGATTGAGCGGAAGACTGGGTCTGTGTTGTTTCGAACTGCGTTATGGGTCCAAATGTTTCCACCAAACAGTCCCACAATGCAATTGGAGACGATGCTGACCCTGTCTTTTCCCAGTTGGAGGTTTTTCTTGCCTAGACGCAGTCAACCTTTGTTCGTTAGGCTTCTGAGGGGTTTCTCTCTTAGGCAGTGTTCACACTTGGTGCCCGGACACGGTGCCCAAGTACGGTACGGTGAACACAACATTGTGCCGATACTCAGGCACTTGTTCCGGGACACCAAGTGTGGACAGCCCCTTATCTAGGCTATATTGTTATGCAACAACAACCAACGGCAAAAAGAGTTTGTTTTGTATCATCTATTAACAAATTCCATAATTTGTTATCCGCCTAATGGAATGTTTTATTTTTTACCCCTTTTGGCTTGAAACAGGGTAGGAGAATTACCATCCTCGGAGACCCAGGGGCAGATAGTGGGGGCGAAAGAAAGTCTAAACGGGCGGGAAAATATGGCACGAAGAAAAGTAGAGAACGGCGAGAAGAGCCCCTGGGGACAATGTCTTACCAGACCAGTTCCAAACTGTCGCGGTCGTTCTGGCTTCTGATTGGTGCCAGAAAACTTTTGTGTTTTTCTGCCCAATCAGAAGGCAGAACGGCGGCGACCGTTTGGAACTGGTCTGGTAAGACATTGTCCCCCGGGGCTCTTCTCGCCGTTCTCTACTTTTCTTCGTACCATATTTTCCCGCCCGTTTAGACTTTCTCTCGCCCCCACTATCTGCCCCTGGGTCTCCGAGGATGGGGAATTACATATTTTGATCTGAAGTAGGGCGAGCTTTTCAGAAAGCATGTCACCCATCCTCACCTAAATTTTCTAGCCTTTAAAAGCATGAGGAGGCTTGGAATGGTGGATAGAAAGGTCGAGGGAAAAGCGAGGATTCCTCTAGCTCCTTACCCCTGCGTTAAACTCTCGCGGGGTTATATTGACGCAAACATATTTATAGGCGTGAGAACCTGACTCGTGAGAACCATGAATTCCAGCGCTCTAACCGCTCGGCCACGATGCTTTTAAACCGATTAGATTACTTAATTTTGTGAGGTATAAAAAGGTGATTTTATATTTCTGTTCTAGCCTGAACAGGAAAGAAGTCTTATTAATGCCAAGCTCTTCCCCACGATCCATTGTTCTGTATCACCGAACGAGAAAACAGACGAGATTTTGTGGTTGTCGATGATCGCAAGCGGCTTTTCAAAGCGATTATTTTCTCAAACCATGGACGTTAACGAGAATGTTTTCAGCTCGTCGCCTACAAAACGTCAACGTTTCGTTTATTCTCTTGGGCGAGGACTTGCGGATCTACTTCAAAAGTAAGGAACGTCTGTGTGTGCTTGGGTGTGTGCGTGTAAGGGCCTGTACAGTATATTATAAAATAGGGAACTTAGGTAACGACCATGGCACAGGGAGCAAAAAGCTCACTTAAAATAAAAAAGCAATCGCGTTGTTTCAAACTCTATCGATCTTATTCCATTTCGTTCAATTTGTCAGTGTTCGCGAATTTTTGTGGAGTTGAGTTCTAAAAGTTTGTTTCTAAATTTAGACAAAGGAAATCGTTCTTAAGTTGACGTTCTCCATGAAATGTGAAATTAGGAACTTTCACGTCGTGGTTTGCAACGACTGCAAAGAAATGTACCAAAAAATAAAGCTTGATGGACATGCAAAGTTGTTGTTTTGCTATTCTAATCTTATTGCTTTTTTCCGTTCTCGTTGCCGTCGTCGTCGTCGTTGCCTAAGCTCCCTGTTAAATTTAATAACTAAGATAGTACGTGCGCCCTGATTGGCCAAGAATTAAGTAAGTTGGATGAGAGTAAGTTGGTTTCACCATGTTTTGCTGTGCACGTGCTTAACACCATGATCATCGAGTGATTATGAAAAAAGGTTGATTTAAGAACACAACATAACATAAAGAAAATTTATTTTTGAAATAAATAAATGGTTTTATGCTTAAGGTGATTCCACAGTAAAAGAACCTAACATAGATTTTAGCTAAAAATTGGTACACTGATGTAACAAGTCAAGAAGATGATAAAAAAGTAATAAAAAGTGGGGGTCACCGTGCTCGTTTTGACGTCACAATGTTGACAAATACGGCTATTTAGGACTCTTTTACAAAAACCGCGGGTAGCGCAAAACTAGACAAAAAGGAGAGATTTTTTCGATGATGCATGTGACATCACACAGAATTTGACTTTAATGTATTGTTTATCCACTTACGTACCAGAAAAATGCCTTTTAATGCCCTTGTTTTTACTTTACGCTCCAAAGTAGAATTAAATTGGACGCGCGCTTTTCGACCCGTGATGGCTCAATCCGTACAATTTAGTAAAATTGCCAAAAAACTGAACATAGATTTGTGCCAATTTTTTTCTCATCGAAAGGAAGCACTGTCCTTATTAAAATCATGAAATAAAAAATGGGGGTCACCGTACTCGTTTTTGCGGTAGAGCTGCAGAAAGTGCGCACCAAACGCATTTTCTCCGATTTTTGAGAGAGGACTGGGGCGAGTTTCAAAATAGAATTTATGTGAAAGGGGGAAGAAAGTATTAAAAAATCCGTTTTTACAGAATTTACATCGAGATATCACATTTAGGACACAATGTGATAACGAAAGTGTTTAAATGAAAATCAAAGTGAGTAAGCACAAGTTAAACATCCACTATCGAGGTTCTCCGAGAGGAGGTCGAACTCAGCAACACGCTTACTGCTTACGTTATGCACATTCCTAACACATTGAGTCTCACCTCGGCAAGAAAGAACAGCAAGCAAAAATTCCAATAGCGTTTCTCTTCAGTCAACTTCATTTTAATAATATTACTTCACATGCTCTTTTTTCGGCGGCCATCTTGTTATGCGCAGTAAGAGATGCGCAGTGCAAAACTAGGGAATCACCTTAATGTGACTGATTAATATAAGTTTCTATAACATAAACAACCTATAGGTAAAGTTTGAGAAAAATCTCGGTGCAGGTTCTATTTCAGAGGAATGACCCAACACACCCATTGGGTGAATCATTCTGTTAATTCCTACAACTTTTTTTCTTCTTAATCTATTGATATTGTTTCGAGAAAATTGATGTTGGTCAATCTTGCTGACTTAAAGGAGTTAATGTCGATGATCCGTTTTTTCAGGTGGCGATCGTCCATCAGGCTGTCCTTGCAGGACATTCTGTCCTTGCTGGATTTGAATGCAGAGTTTGATTGGAAAAGAAGGTTGTGGTTTGAAATTGGGAAAGCACAAGCTGAGACCACACTGAGAGACTGCAAGAATGATTGTCTCTTGCCATTCTTCAGAAGTTGTGTTCAAGAAGGATTCGCAAAAGACATCTTGAAAGTTTTAGATCAAGGTAAACGTTCATTGCAGACCCGCGGCAGTCCGCGGAACTACCTGCTTAGGCTAGAGATAAGGGGCCGTGGTCTTCTGGAATTGTTTAGGGGAACGAGAAAACAAACATGAGAAGATTAGATCAGACCCAAAAGAGTTTCTGAAATTATTGGCCAATCCGCACTAGCAGAAAAATTTGGAATTCTCTTTCTCAAACTCATTAATAATTCATATGGATAATACAAAGGAAATTATTGTTTAATGAGTGTTTTGAAATCAGATGGAAAACTGCTGGTACAATTAGGCATTCCGGGGTGTCTAGCTTTTGAGAATATACGCGAAAAATCAAATCTTGTACTCGTAGTCGGCTCGTCCTCGAATCTAAATGTCTTAGTCTAATGTCTCATTGCCTTAAAAGAGGATCTTTATCCTCAAGGTTCACTGATGAACTGTTTCTTTTTCTCAGTTGCATGCAGTACAAGTTCTCCAGGCGTGGCCGCTCGGACTTTGGCGTGTATTGCTGACGTATTAGGTGCTATGGCAGGAGAGAGAGCTGGGCTGAGAAGTGGTCCGGCCCGCAATGAATCCTGGATGGATGCCTTTCAGTGTCTGGAGGTAAACGAAAGCAACTAATCTAAATACACAGACTAACAAAACTGGAAACTTCTTCCTTAATGATACAGGAACCTCGATATAGCGAACCACTATATAACGAAGTTCTCGATATAACGAACTATTTTCTTTACCCCAGTAACAGTAAAATATATGGAAAAGACCGTCGATATAACGAAACCTCGTTATAGCGAACAAATTTTGCCAGTCCCCTTGCCCGTCGTTATTACGAGGTTCCCTCCATAATATAGATTCAAAATGTGACCTGTTATTGAATGAATCTTACCAATATACTAGTAATCGAAGGTTACGGAGTGTGGGCGACAACGATCGAAGGTCAAAATACTTTTGCTCCAGCGCTGTGCTTTGCGTGCATATCACGTGATAGATGGTCAAAACACGCGTTATCATATTACGAGTGATAGAAGGTCCAAATGCTCGTGATCAGTGGAAGTCCAAGCCAAGCTGGCTACATAGGTGCCGTGCATGCGTAATAGCAATCTGGAGATTAGGATTGCGGGCTCCTCTTGTCGCTGGCAATTAAATAGCTCACGCGATACATTTTTTCGACTTTGAAAGCTGATGTCTTCTTTTTGTTTTGCTGTTTTTTTTTAATTTAGAAAGGAGACATTCCAGCTGGAGTGAATGCACTCGCAGAAGAGAGAAATAAGTGGCTTGAAAGGTAGATCATTATGACCATTAGCGTTGCGTTAGTTTTTAGCGTAGGCCTGGTTATTCAATACAGGAGGTCTTCACTTAGGCCGCATCTAAGTACAAACATTGACTCTTCGTTTCTCCGTTTTTGAGTGAGTTATATATTCTTATTATCTGTGGTATATGCGCCCTTAACAATAATAATACATAGTCTTTGATGTCTAAGGAATGATCTGCCCCAAAGTGATAGAAACTTAGAACGCTCAGTTTGTTAAACACCTACCTGTGTAGTTGCAGAATTCTTTTCATTTCTGTCGTCAACTGGATAAAAATTACAATTAAATAAAAAGTTTCGCACGGATGGAGTCCGCTTGCCGAGGGAAAGTAGAGTGTTTGATATAGGAGCTGTTGATTATAAAAGATAAAAGACCTACGCTAAATACGCAAGCGGACTCCTGCCATGCGAAAAATTTTATTGAATTGTAGTTTGTTCATTTTCACGTTTAAATTACATGCACTTTTCGCACTTCCTTTTTCTATAAATATTACCACGAGTCCTGTTAATTTCTTATCTTTTGATAATGATGACATGAAGCTATCGAAACGTCGTTTCTTTTATATCGTTAATTTTGTTTTAAAATGTATGTCTAAATCGATCCTCATTACAAAATTTTACGGAAACACAATAAATTAAAGTGTTGTAGATCAGGCAAAAAACTACCCACGATAGAAAAACTAAACGAGCTGAGTTGCATTTTATAAGGTTGTGACACACGAAAGATTAAGACTACGAATTAAATTTAGGAGAACAAAAATAAATAAATAAATAAAAATTAAATAGAACAAAACAAAACAGAACGGTACCTGATAGCTATAAAGTTTACATCAAATGGGATAAATCAAACAAATTGCTATCCAGCATTAAAAGTAATGACGAGGATGAATAATTTCCTTCATCTTTTGCTTAAATAAATGCAAACAAGTACTTTTTAAATTTGCATCCAGGTTATTCCAAACAGAAGGACCAGGGAAGCGTATATTAAATTTACGGTAATTAGGCCTAACCTTGCCAAAATAATAAGTTGACTTTGATGGTAGCCTAGTATTATAGCTATGCTTAGATGTTATACGTGAAAAGAAGTTGTCTTAAGCCTCAGGTAGTAAATTATGATGAAACTGAAGCATAAAAAAGGCAGGCAAAATGAATAGTCACTAGACGCATGAACTTGACTAAACCGAACTGTGAAAAAAAGGGGGCTGGAGTGAACATCTCGATTAGAATATGTAAGTATTTCTACTTTAGTGTGAGAACTTTACTTTACATTGATGTAATTGATTATTATTTTTGAATAGACCTGATCTTCTCATCCGAGCAGCTCGCCATTACGAAGGAGCGGAACAAATTTTAAGACGAAAAGCGGTTTTTACTTCAAGACAGGTCTGTTACATGGCTGACAGTCTAAAACATAGCCTGCTCCTATATATAATTATATAGCTTAGTGTACAAGTTAAAAGAAAATAAAATGACAAAAGGTAGTTTTGTACAAAAGACTGAAAGACACTAAACGATACCCCTTCTACAAAACAATCGCTAACCAACAACAGTTTCTGCAACACCAAGAATCAAACATCCCCAAATTGTTTCCATTAAAACAAGCAAAACCAACCTTGTAGAATTTTAAGTGGAAGCGTAATTATAACTAGTTGTGAGAATGGTTTTATCGAATTTAGCCCCATTGAATAAGAAATGTTAATTTTCTTAGTCCTCCTCACTTACATTATTCTTTCAAACAGTTTTTCCAAAGCGACGAATGTGAACCTGTGCCCAAAGGACACTGGGTAATAGCAGAAGCACCTGGTAAGGTCTCAAAACTGAAAGCATTGTTTCCTTTCAAAGGCTTTACATTGGCAAACTAACGTTAGAACTACTTTAACCATGGTATGACATATAGATTTAGTCAAGGCCAAAAACAAAGCTCTTGTGAGAGCTCATAAAAAATGTATATCTGAAGTAAACTTTTGGGAGCCTGCGATCAGTTGAATACCATGACTGGACAGCAGAGATCTTAAAAGAAGAGCGTCCCCTCAATGAGTTGCACACCTGAGCCCGCGATACAGACATGTGACACCTGGAAGCGGATACCCTATTTTGAAAGCTGTCAATTGATCATGCATGTCCAACATCGAGTTTTAAAAACATAAGTTGTATACGCCTTAGACTTTCAGGCTAGTAAGTAAGACATTTCACGTCCGCTAACATGAGGGCGGACGTAAGTAGGTACCTACGGACGATTTTGTCAAAATCAAAATTTATTGAATGCATAGATAACCAAATTTTCTTAACCACGGTGCTCCACTGTTAAGAAAATCTGATGCGGTGCATTTTCTGGTTGGCTATTATTGCATTGACCTTGATCGGAGAGGCTTAAAAGCGCTGCCAGAAACCCACATTTACGTACCCTACTTGCAGACGTTTCTTTCCTACCTGGTTTTGGCATTTTTAAAATCGTCAGTCGCGTCGTTGAAGTTAGTGTAGTTGGCTTGTTTAACCCCATGTGCCAATTTCAGTGAAGCGACTGATGACTTCGTAAATGCTAAAAATCATGTCAGAAAAAATGTCTGCTAGCAGGGTAAAAGGCGACGTTTTAATCCCTACCACTAGGAAGAGGGCTGGGTGCCTTATGCTACAATGACTGCTTGGGTAACTTGTGGCTTAATTGAAAATCTTTTGCGGTACATTACATCACGATCAACACATGCACCCTGTAAACTTTATCAAAGAGAGAGATTTTATGGACAGGGGGGTTACCCCACCAAAGCGGGTTACCTTACCTCCCTGGGATCTTTCCACTCTATGTAAACAGGTCCCCTCAACTTCACGACTAACGTTTTACTTGTGCCAGTTCATTCTTATCTCTCGGTTGTTTGTTCCCTTTCAGCTCGAATAGATTTGTCTGGTTGCTGGACTGACACCCCTCCTGTGACCTATGAGCACGGTGGGGCAGTTCTTACCGTTGCTGTTAACCTTAATGGAAAGGTAAGGGGGAACCATACTGCATTTATTTTGAGTTTCGAGTTTTCCTTTCTTCAGCAAATTAGGGCTTTTGTTATTCAAACCTCGCTAGAAGTATCAAATTTACTGGTATGAAAGAAAGACGAAAAGCCGGGATTCTGTTCATGGTAATAAAACGACACCATCACGCAAGTGCCGCATTTTTTTGTGTTTTGCACATGCTAACGAAGTCAGAAAGGCTGATAATACATATAAAAAAATAATAATAGGCCGCCATTATGAAAGAGGTCCATTAGCCAAAGCCGATTTTTTAACTAATGTTGTTTTCTTTCCTTTTTCCCCTTTACAGAAAGTAACAGGCGCTAAAGTTAGAAAAATATCTGAGTGAGTGTTCATTTTGGAAATCTTAACGCCTTTCCAGAACTAGAATCTGGGACTGTACTATTTATCATCTGTACGATTTATCGAAAGGTCGACTCTAATTTAACTGATTCGTGGGGATTTGCCGGTTCGCTTTGTACGCATTAGCGCAATAAGGTAATAGAGAGTTTAAGCACCGGCGTTTTTGAGCAACGCACGACAACCGGAAGTGGACTTTTTGCAATCTTAGGCTGTGATTTTGAACAAATATTCTAACAGCTCGTCTCTGTCGGAATAAAGACACTTAGCAATACAAATTACGTAGCATGAAGGCATATTAAAAAGGAAAAAGGTTCACTTTAGACTGACGAGCGTCGCTGAAAAACGTCGTTGCTTAAAGTCCCTGTAGAGTGTTTTCACTCACGTGGCCAGCATCTATGCTAATTTATTGGAGCAAAAGGAAACGTTTGCATGAAAAAAGAGTTGAACTAAAAGAGGATTGATTTGGGAAACCAATATGGCCGCCCTGACGTCATCTGAAAACACTCTATTAGGAAGCTTAAGCAACGACGACGGCGACGTCACCGAGAACGGCAAAAGATCAATAGGTTTAGATAAAGAAGAAACCCTAGCTCTTCACGGGCATCACGCTTTAATTTTTTGTACATCTCTTTGCCTTCACTGCACAACTACGACGTGAAAATCTTTAGTTTCACGGTTTGTGGAGGACATGAACACAAGACAACGACTAAGACCTTCTTTTACTTTTCTTGAACTTTAGAATTATTTAGAATTCAACTCCAGAAAAAATTGCAAACATTTGATGAATTAAACGAGATGGAATAAGCGAGATAAAGTTTGAAGCAGCGCGATTTCACTTGTTGAGTGACGTTTTCGTAACGGTAGCCGTCGCAGTCGTTGTTGTTTAAGCTGCCTATTGACTGGAAAAAGAAGTTGGGCCAAAGAGAAATTAATAGGCTGATTTAGCAACAGAACGGAAACGTCATTTGACGACGGAAAAGCGCGCCGAAAGGACTAAACTCGACTTCCGGTGCACAATTTGCCGCTCAGCCATTGGTCAAGTCAGTTGTTTGATTTGCGCGCGCCGTCGTCAACTGACGTTCCCGTTTTTTTGCTAAATCAGCCTATTGAGGAAGAAGGAACTGCTCCTATTTTAAAAATCCTGCTTGCAGGCGTCCATTTCCCTAATTTCGCTTCTTGAATTACAGTCAAGAGGTCTACCATATATTAATAATAAATGATAATGATAATAATAATAATAATAATGATAATGATAATAATTAATAGAGAGATTAAGCATCGCGTTTACAGCAAACGGCAAACATGGTGAGATTCAAGTTGAGAAATTTTCAAAATGAGAAATGAACAGATAAAAACAGCTTAAAACAATGCTTATGGACAGAATTGGCGTGAATCTACCGATTTTCGTGTAGTTATAACGAATAGTAAACGATAAGTAAATGGAAAACTTTGTCACGTGGTACTAATTCAGTTTTGAAGTTTGCCGTAAATGCGATGCTGAATCTCTATATTAATAATTTCAGTATTGTTTTTAGGCTTGAAATAGTCCTTGTGATTCACTCTGGACAACACAATGTTCGAGTTGTTTGCAGTGAATTAACGCACTTGGAGAATTACACTCAGCCGCATGCGCCAGGTAAAGTTAATCCCAGGCCCTCTCTCTTTCGCTGAGATCCGTTTAATCAACATTGTCCTACACAAACTCACTCCAATCTATTTTAGGAGTGGGTTTTCCATCAACAAATTTCGAACGCTTGGTAGCATATAGAGCGATTTTCATATGACCTTGAAAAATGGTTTCGGTAAGTGTTCGTTATTTGTCTTATTAGTCAACGGATGAAAAGATCAAAACGTGGCCTCTTCGTTTTCCCGCCAAAGAAAACCGTAATATGGAGAAGGCATTGTTCGATTGGCCAATCGTGTTGCAGTATGACGTCAAAGCCAAGTATGGGTTGATTTCTAGGAAGTTCTCGGGCATGAAGCTTTTTCACCGGAGCGTTCGATTAACCAACCAAAAGCCGCGCGCGTTTGTATCCGTTCGCTAAACCAATCAAATCGCTCTATTTCCGTTCGTTTGTTGTTTCTGTTTTGTTCGCGCGTTTTCATTTCATGGTCATACGAAAATTGCTCTATTCTCTTAAAGGCCAGGTTTATATGGAGAAAACCTGTTCCGGATCACAGGGTCAACCTCCCTGAGCAAGCGTTTATTTTGAAAATATAGTTGACCCCTTTGCCCGAGTCAACAGCGCTTGCGCATGCTCTGATTGTCTCGCTTGACCGAGTTGACCCGGCTGGGCGAGCCAAAGTGTTTATGCGGAGAAAAGATGGCCCAGCTAGGAGGGTGACCCTACCATCACAAAAGGGTGACCCGGCTTGGTCAATCTTTTAGCCGAGCCAACTTTTTGTTTTGTGAGAAAATGTTTGAAAAGTTGGCTCGCCCTGGGTAAAACTGTATCTAGGGTAGGCGGGTAACCCGTCTACTCGGGACAAGTTTTTTCCATATAAACGGGACTTTGTGGCTGAGATAAGCCAGGATCTTTTTTCTTTACGAAAAACTGGAGAGTTCTTGATTATAGTATAACGTCCTTTTAATTGCAAGTTCTTCTTTAGGTGCTCTTCTTAAGGCTTGTTTTTGCCTCCTGGACATTGTAACACTACCTTCAAGCGAACCATTGAGTGCCCAGCTACAGAGAAAGTATCAGGCAGGGTTTGAGCTCCACACGTGGTCGACCGCTCCTCAGGGCAGTGGCTTGGGAACGAGTAGCATTTTAGCCGGAGCCATTCTTGCCGCATTGCTACGGGTTACAGACCGCACAGCCAGCTTGGACTCACTCATTCACGCTGTGATGATCGTTGAACAAATGTTGACCACTGGCGGCGGCTGGCAGGATAACGCTGGTGGACTGGTACCAGGATTTAAGATGACTCGATCCCAAGCCTCTTTACCTCTGAAGGTTGAAGTGGAACCGCTGAATTTATCTGAAACCACCGTGGATGCAGTAACGAAACGATTACTTTGCCTTTTCTCCGGAAAACCACGTCTTGCTAAAAATTTGTTACAGGTAATAAAGCAACTTTTCGTGTCCCATGAAAGAGCTATAAAAAATGTGAATTAAACCTTAAGCCAGAGCTAATCATAGAGACATGAGCAGTTATTCGAATATTTGTTGTCTTTGTGCTATTAGTCTATTGCAAGGTTAATTGTTCCAAACTACTATCATCCCCAGGACTCACTGGCCATTGGCTACGGTGAGTCCTGGGACTCATTTCAAGAAAAATCCAAAACCCAAGTCCGAAACAACCGAGTGTTAGTCTATAAATTAAGAGGTCCCTTGGAGAACCGTGAACGCTTGAAATATTTCAGGAATGTTTATTGTGTTATAACCAATCACAGCAAAGATCAGAACATGGGAACTAGCCACCAAACCACAAACTAATTAACGCTCTTTCTTGCGGTTTAGTTATCTCACGCCTGATTGGCTTTTTTCTTGCAACACAATAACATTCCAGGAATATTTCTGGTGTTCACGATTTTCCCGGTTTGACTGCACATGCTTCTTGAAAGCAATGAATGGACATTGGGCAAATCGTTCTGTTGGCCAGAGCCTCTTTAGAACCTCTAATTTGATAGTTTCTTGTTAGCCCGAAACTTTACTGTTTCAGAGTTGCGGTTCATTGTTAGTTTTTTTTGGGTTAGGGCTATCTATTGTTTTCTAAACCAATCCTGTGAGCCGTTCTTAGAGCTTCCGGCCCACTCAAATCGTTAGAGGGGAGTTTATTGCATGATGTGAGCGCAGTGGCAAGAACAAGATCTTGCACCAAGTGATGAGGACATTTTAACCTTTCATGATTTCCTTCCAAAACACTTTTGTAATACCCGACAAAGGCCCTTTCCACACCAATCCGGATATTTTTGAAACCGCATGCTCTTTTATGCGAATCCGTCAACCTTCCGTCCTTAGAAAATCAGTGAATCCGCAAACCGAAACTGCATATTTTTGAAACCGCTCTCCAGAATGGATTTTTTTTGGATCCGACGGGTTTGTTGAATTCGTGTGGACGACTGAAACAGGCGGGGGAGGGGCGTGATTCCAAGCTGGATACACCACACCGAATTCGAGTAGACGCAAATATCAAGTATTCAGTTTCAGCGTATCCGGATTCGTGTTTACGTGGCCTAAGAATGTGTACATGAATAGGAATCGGTGGCGATGTTCAATTGTAACAATTATGGAGCTTACGCAACTACGACGGCAGAGTCAACGAGAACGGCAAAAAAGCAATAAGTTGAGATTGGCGTTTCTGTATATTTCTTTGCCGTCACTGCTCGACTACGACGTGAAATAACTCCCTAATTTCACTTTTTATGGAGGACGTGAACACAAAACAACGATATTCTTTTTGTTTTTGTAAACTTAGATACAGTCCTTTAAAATTCAACTCCTGAAAAATCGCTAACATTTGACAGATTAAAGGAGTTGGAATAAGAGCGACGAAGTTTGAAACAGCGCGAATTCACTTTTTGAGTGACGTTTTTGCTCCCGTTGCCGTCGTCGTTGCTTAAGCTCCCTTATGTCTAATTGAAATGCTCCAATATTAATATCGGTGAATTCAATTTAAACCCTACTGATTTCGCGTTTTTTAGGATGTGGTCAGGAACTGGTATGCAAGGTTTCCACACATAACTGAAAACGCTGACAACCTGATAACAAACGCAGAGGAAGCCGTGGAAGCACTTAAGACAGGTAAAATTGGGAGAAATATTAAGCCCGGTGAAAAAAGGACGCAACAATGTTTACCAACAACTCCAAACATTGCTGGATGTTACATGTTGCGTCCGTTTGCACAACCTGTTGCGTGTTGTTGGGAGTTTTTGCGCTAAGTTTGAAACCAGTCAAACTTTTGAACCAACAGCTCCCAACATTTCTTTTGTTCCGTGGTCTCCGAAGCGTAGCGTTACAATGCTGCATCGGTTTGCACAGCTCTTCCAACATTGTTGGGGCCATGCACGCGCATTACACATGGTTTACAACGTCTTACGGGTTGTAACCTTCCCACGATGCACTGCAGATCCCAACATTATTGGGAGCTGTTTCGTCCATTTGCACACCACTGCCAACACGAACGCAACAACTTCCGACATTGTTGGCCCAACAATGTTGGGAGTTGTTGCATCCGTTTCACGTCGCCTTTAGTTCTCGGACTGCAAATATTGGCCCGATTGTACCAGCGTTGCCTGACATCTTGTCACTTAAGGTTGCTACACACCAGGCAACAATTTGCAGCAACAAGTTGCAGCGACACACGGCAGCCACAAATCTCTGTAGTGGAGAACTTTTGTGAAAATCTTTGTCTCCGCAATAGAATTTTGTCGCCGTAAGAAGTCGGACAAAATCAAATCAGACTGAATTTGTGTAACTTTTGCAGCGACAAAATTCTGTTGCTGAGACAAAGATTTCCCAGAAATTCTCCACTACATACGAAGCGATCTGTCCCTGCAACGTGTCGTGCAACTGGTTGCAGCAACTTATCGCCCGACCTGTACAAAAGGAGCGATTGGTCGCCGCGACGTGTTGCAGCGACAGAATCAGCGTTAGAATCTGTTTTTAGATCTCGCTTTTTATTGCAAATCCGGATCCAGATTTCCCAATTGAACACGCTCTTATTCACCGTTTTTCAGGAAATGTTGAGAAGTTAGGCGCCTGTATGAATTGTTACCGTAAGCAGAAGTGTATAATGGCTCCCGGTGAGTAGCTTTCAGTAACTATTCATTCCCTTTCCATCATTAGCAGGGTTTAGAATCAGGTGAGACTCAAGTTGACAATATCTAAAATTAGGAAATGACAAAAACTGTCCAAAATATTTCTAATGGAGGAAACTGGCTTGAAACTACTAAGCTGTTGTAGGTGTAATGAACATGCAAGAGACAAGCAAAGGGAAATGTTGGTCGCGTATTACAAATAGACAGTTTGTCGTTTGCCCAATATAAGCCATTTCCGAGTCACCCAAAGCCTCTGTTTCGAAATGAGTCTTAAGGCCTGTATAAATGGAGATGGGGGACCCCAATTGGGTGTGGTAACCTGCGTAGGTGGGGTAACCCGCCTGTTCATATAATGTCTCATTTTAATTTAGTTATGTTTACATGATAGGTGGGGTGACCCGCCACATGTTACCTCACCCATCTAGGGCTCCCTCACCTCCATGTAGACAGGCCTCAAGTGCAAAGCCATTGATATGAAATTGAGTTTTTATTCTCACGCAAATAATACTCGTTTTCATAGTAAGAGTTTAACGAACTCGGAAATGGCCATTGCTTGTCTCCCGAAGGCTAAGGAGGGTCGAAGTGGCGGGGGGGGCATTGCAAGCTGCAAATGGCTTGTTCTTGTCTTCCTATTGCAATTTGGGGCGAATTTTTTAACACAAACAGGTGTACTCTCATAATTCGGGCTTAATTTACACAAAAAACTAGGATACTGCTTCTGTAAAAACTGAAGCTTTTAGTAATACACACATTTCCCACAGGAACCGAACCTGATGCAATACGAGATATGATGGAGGCGCTGGACCCTTTCGTATTAGGTGAGACGTTGTTTGTTTTTACCATGCTTACCAGGCTAGTTTTCGACTTTCATTACAAGACAACAGGCTGAACCCAGCGGTGTACTCCGGATTTCAAGTGACTGGGATGATCTAATTGGGGGCAAAAATCAAAGCGCCAAAAAATCCGTGGGGCTTCCGACAAAAGCCCAAAATTTCCCTGGAACAAAAATTAACCCCTCAATAAATCCCATATAGAACTACGCAGCCGAAATACGCGGGCATCACAACATATCTGCAGATTGTTTTAAATACCTAAAAAATCCCTATTTAATTCAAACCACCCAAAAAATACTTGCTAAATTTTTCTACTACCCGCACCCCCCCCCCAAAAAAGTTCCCGGAGTCGAAGATTTCCAACTCAGAAAAATTCCTTCGATGATCCCTGTCACTTGAAATCCGGAGTACCTCCCCCTGGGAGCCTGGGGGTTTTTCTGACAATAGCTTTCTAATTGTTTCAGGACAAACCTTGACCGGAGCTGGAGGGGGAGGCTTTCTGGTTCTTATCACTAAAGAAACTAACATGGCTGATAAAATACGAGCTGTGATCGAGGAGAAAAAGGTACTAGCGCCTGAATGTCACATTCCATCGATACAAGCAAAAAAATCAACAAAAGGGGGAAATTGCTAACAGCAAACAGCAGTGTTTTTCTATTACTGACAACGTTCAGAGTGTAATCACTCACTAAAAAAAAAGCCGTTGTCGAAGTTTCCCGAAAACTATAATTCAGGTGATGATAGAGTTAAGTTTTATAACCTGAGACACTGTGAAACAACGACAACAAAAGCAACGCGGCTAGATTTTGCCAGGAGATAGGTGATGGAGTATGTGGTCGAGGCTCTTCACCTAAGCTAGACTGTTTACAGTCCTTTATTTTTCCATAAGACTGTCGAGATCGAAATTGCGTTACGGTCGGCCGTCTTGGATAAGGGTCAAATCTACTTTAGGTGCAATAAAACGGGCAACAAAGAACGTGAAACTTGTTTTGCCACGTTGCTTCAAACGAGTTGAATAGCGATGTTGCGCGGTTTATCATCACGAAAAAAAAGCTTGGAGTCATATTTGTTGCAAGACAGGTTCGAACATGGGTGGTAAAACGCGCAACATCGCTATTCAACTCGTTTTGCTGCAATGTTGCAAAAAAATTCCCCTTTCTGTTTTTTTGTTACCCGTTTTACTGTAGCTCTAGGAGCGGGGACGGGTAAAAACCTCGACGTCCGCGTCGTTAGTAAATATGAAGCCAAGTTGGCCGACCGTACGGTAAGGTTTTGGCAGAAAGCGCTGGCAAATGGCGCAGACAATTGTTTCGTTTCCGTTTCAAACTTGAAAACTCTTGTTGTAGTAAGCTATAAGAATTGAGTAAATTTACATGGTATTAATGATATATTAAACTTTGAACACTGCAAATCAGTGTGGAGATAAAACGCTAGCTTTTGAGTGTTTAGCTTAGCTTTTGCAAGTCTCTCGGTTTGACATCGGTTGCAGGGTTCGTTTGTCACACACACAGCAAGTTGTTCTCTTAAGAAATCGATTCCCACAGTTTTGTTTTTAGATGACTTTGCAAAGTCTTACTTTTAGAACTAAGTTCTTCATAATTTTGCGGTTTCAGGCTTCGGATGAGTTCATTTTTTACGACGTAAGCGTGGACTGGGATGGACTGACTGTGAGAGTAGAAGAACCGTCGCAATGAGTCATGGACCTTCAGTAACCGCCACAAGTTAGGCCACAGTGATGTAATCGGTGAAGAGCAAAAGAAATTTAGAATTTCACTTCGAGTCAGGGAAAATTTAAGTCTTTGAAAGAAGTCAGGGAAAAGTAAAATTTTAAGGGTACATTTGCATATTTTACGGACATGAATCACGTTGTATTGGTAGAATATTGTTCATGAAGTTGAACAGCAAGCTTATGTTGGGTTTGCAAAAAAATCAATCCTGTTTGCACGTTATATTAGGGAAGGTATCAACTCATGTACATTGCACGTGACTTGTGAAAGCATAAATAAGTGGGTTGGGGGGATAGCTGTCAGGGGAGCGTTGAGTACAATATCAGAACTAATTTGGGAAATTGTTAATTCAGTTGGTCAGGGAAATTTTTCATTGGTCAGGGAAAAGTCGGAGAATTTCAAAAACCGTTGGCTGTAGCAACCATGTTCTAGATGATGAAGATATTTACTTGAATGTCACAAATTTAATAGAATATTTTAAGAAGTTATGCGGGTATCAGCGGCCATCCCGAGGGGGCGACCCCCGGGCACCCAGGGGCATTTGTCACAGCTGCAGTGACAAATACGTGCTAAAGCCCCTGGGGTAGGGCAAAAAATTGGGACAAATACCCCCACCCCTGGAGCAACCTGGGCAACATATAATAAGTAATTTTTTAAAAAAAATTCCCGTTTACTTGCAAAAACGCATAACTCCAGCACAAGAAAAATGGGAAAACAGTCACTTTAAGGAGAACATTCACGTCGAGACAGGCATGACAAATTATCTATTTCAGAGGAATCAGCAAAACAAGACTAAAGGGCTAATACAATTACACTATGTTTCATTTGAAGCTTTAATATCTCTGATCAAATATGAAAAAAGATCAAACTACACAGGCTGGCAAAAGACTGATAATCATACTGAAAGAACGCCTAGGGACTAGGCTGATGCGTGACGTGCCTGTCACATCCTAGTTTTGTTGTTGGAGTTTTAAGATGGCGGGGGTTAAATCTTCAGACGGCACAAGGAAACGTTGAACAGCAGTTGTGCTAACTTGCCAAAACAAAACCAGTGCTCACATTTTTCAGAAAGGTAAATAATTCAATGGTGCGTAATCTTACCTGTCGTGTTGTCCTACGCCGTGTAACTGAAATGACGTGTCGGCGTTGTGTGAAAGCAGCCATATTAACGCATTGTTCGTTTGCGATCGCGTGCCTGTCGAAGTCAAATTTTTTATCCTTTGCATATAAAAGGCTTAAAAAGCATACAAGTTTTCACTTGTTAATTCAAAGTTTATAGTATTGTTCTAAGGTTTCGTTTATAAGTGAAACTTTGACAACCTTGCTCTTTTCAACATTTTAAAAAGGCTGAAGTGTTGAGAGAGCCTTTAGTGTTTAAAAAGGCTGAAAGAGCCTGAAGTGTTTAAAAAGAGATTATTTGTCTGACAAATAGAATTTTTATGGTTTTCTCCCTGGCCTTTGGTGGATTAATATTAGCATATAAATGGCAGTCTCGCATGAAATAGGTTATGTACCAATGATTATGTAGTACCAGAAGGCACGTGGCGGTCACGGGGCAGGGGTATGGGAGATTTCATTTTATTGAACCCCCACTAACTTGTGTCACGTTCATGACTTGTTACATTACTTTTAAGCTGCCATTCTTTCCTGTTTTCTTTGGTGAACACGTTTGTTTCAGTACTGTCTGCCCTCACCTTTACTGGGCCCATTACATTTTTCTTGGAACCAAATATTTTTGTCATTTATTTGATAACTTTATTGATTAAACCGGCTCTGGGCCTTCGCCCTGAGCCATTTCACTCCAGTTTGTGATTACTATCTTTTTCTGTGCCCAGTAAACAAGCTCAGGTAATGCAGCCTAACATTCAAATGAATTCCTGATCTGGAGAGCGGAAAGGACATAAAAGCCTTTTAAAAGGCTGGAGTGTTGAATACAATGTCAGAGAAATAGCTCTCAATGTAAATTGATAGTTTCTCGAGATTGGTAATCACTTAGAGCGTGACAGACGAGTAAACTGTCTCTTATCTACTATATCAGAATTATTATTTCAAGTTATATTTTTTGCATCGAACGCTCTTGCGATCATGCGAAGCTCATATATGATTTCTTTGTTTACGGTTTATATCGTAGATATTTAAATAGGTTGCTCGCTCAGTTTCTAAATAACGTGCATGCTTTGACATTCATAGACTACGAGTAGTCCCCGTTTTTCCTCAGGAATAGCTGAGTGAGCGAAACGCGAACACGTGTGAAAATCACCCCACGCGAGAAAGGCGTGATGGGGTGGGGAGAGAAAAAAATGAGGGACAAAGACAGACAACGCCCACGCTCTTGAACTTATGCATTACTCTGACAACGCAAAACTCTGATTGGCTTTTCCATCGAAATCTGTCAACATCTGACAAAAACACGCCAGCCGCTATCAACACTCGACATAATCACTATTTCCAGAATAACTAGAGCAGAACAAATAACTGGAGTTCAGCTCTTGTAGAAGCAACTAAGCAGAAAGTCAAACCGTCAACTGATGAGGTTCACTTGGAGGAGTAAAACCATGGTCTTGCCTGATCACAAAGTGGCAACAACAGAACAGTCACAAGGCTGTTAAGCTTATTCAAAAGTTATCCCCAAGAAGGAAACTACGCGCTTCAGTCCAAAGACTCACATTATCCTCAGTAAAACAAGCGAGAGTTAAAATTCATTGCTTTAAGACTGATCATCATGACTGAGTCACATCGCAATTCTCCATAGTTAATGTAGCTTCAGTTTAAGCTGCAATCCATTCTTTGAGGTTTGGATCAGTAAATCACTATCCGTGAGAATTTAACATCCTGCTAAAAACACTAACGAGCTTGGCCCAGCGTGACAAAACATTGCAGGAAACCGTCACATTCACAGACGAAAAGAAAATCGCGTAAAAATTATTCAGATCCAGGAGGCTCTTTGTCGGAGAAATTAAACAACCTGAAAACCTTATTTAGCCACATTGAAGAGCTTTATTTTTCAAAAGAGGTCAAATAAAATGCTCTTGCATCAGAGGGCAGATCATGCTGACCATAAACAATAACCGCAGAAAACTAATATGCGTGTCACGACTTCTCAGTATGAAAAAAGCGGCAAAAATCACATTTGCTCAGTCAAAACATTTTCCTCCAGAGCATGATCTAACCGTCCGAGAAAAAAAAATTCATTGGAACAAGCAGCATTTTGGCATGAGGTAAAAGTCGTGTGTTGTCTACTGACCCCCCTTTTTATACTATCAAGATTTTTTACTTGCAATAAATATTGCCTGCAAGCTACCGATGACAAGAGCAATGGCAGCTCAGTGAGAGAAGGAATCCCATTGCATGCGCTTCAAAAGTTATACGAACTTCACACTCCTAAATCATTCGGCCATGAAGGGTCAAAAGCTTGGGCTTTGTCTGTAGTCCCTCATTTTTCTCTCTCCCTGCTGAGTCTCGTCTTTCTTGCGTGGTGTGCTTTTCACGCGTGCTTGCGTTTCGCTCACTGTACTATCCCTGAGGAAAAATGGGGACTACTCGTAGTCTATGACATTCACAAGGAGAAAAAGAGCTCAAATATCAACGTGTGGTATTGGTTAAGTTATGATTTGTAGTGATGTTTGGCGTAAATACATGCACCACCCAAATTGGGGTAATTGTGATCGAAACATCAAGGAATTACAAAATATGCTCATATTAATTTTGTTTCAACTTCTGCAATTTTCAGATGTAATGTCTAGTTATTCTTGAGTATTTACAAGATGATCTCAGCCAATCAAATAATTTTGCAGATCAACCACTACTGAGAGAAATATACAACGAGCCTCCCATCATTTCATATAAAAGAGCAAAATCGCTGGGAGATATCCTCGTTGGAGCAAAATTATAAGGTCACGCATCACACTATCACGAGCTTATGAGTCGTTTTGGCCTGTCAACACCTTCCACCTATCTCTGTGCGCTCGATAAACATGTAATGGAGGATCCTATGCCAGCCACGATAGAATCGTGTAAATTCCCACAATTTATAATAATACGATTTAACTACTCCAATCGAAGCAAAATTCCGCTATAATCACCGTCCTGATAGGAATCTAAACGCTCCAAAGTTTCTTGTACAACAGCAAGTGCGAACTTAATGCTGCCGCCATGTTTATACAAAAGGCGCAAAGCATGATGGACTAAAGAGCCACCCACGACCCACCCTCCGACAGATGGTCTTGATCAACGATCACTGAAGCGTGAACGAAACTTCAGAAGTCGTGTTGAAAATTTTCAAGGTCGAGTTTGAATATGACTCGGCAAGTGTAATTTGATGAAGCGAGTTGAAAATATACGGCGAGCAAGGTCAAATAAAAGAGTTGAGTTTAAAAATAAAAGACGAGTGTAAAAACAGTTTTCTAATGATGCGAAATCTGAAGGAAGAGTGTAAAACTTTATATTCGGCTATAAAATTCAAGTAGAAATTTAAATGATGAATATAAAATTAATACCATGAATTTTAGTGGGGATCGTACGCCATAGGCTATTGCCTGGACACTACTGCTTTGTCTACTCTCTTTGCACGCTGTTTAATATAATTTAACTAGAACTTGAACCTTTGAATGCTCTAAATCTCTTTTTCTCAGAAAAAAGGTTTAAATAAAGTTATAAGACGCCTGTTAACCCTGAGGACTGGGATGTTGACTTTGCTTTTCCTAACCTGTAGCTTTGTTTTAATGAGAACGAAGCTGATGTAGAAACTGAATCGTAACCTTACCGAGGAAGAGAATTATAGTCAGTGTTTGAAAATTTTAACGCGGGTCACAATTGAAGACGAGAATGAACTGGCAGAAAGAGAGGCTTTCCCAAAAACAATTAACAAGCGAATCCCTTCGACAATGACAACAAACTTTATACCTTGAAAAGCTTCTTTACCTTTTGCAGTGTTTTTTTTTTTTTTACAAGGACAAACGGAGGAAAGATGGAAAAGACTTCTAGACAGACACAGTGTCCGGTTTCCAAAATACTCCAGCGTTACATTAAAGAGTTAAAACTTGCAGTGCTCTTAGCTTTGACCGAATAAACTTTTTCACTGACATGGCGAATTTGTTTTTATTTTCTCGGAAAGCCTTTGTTATGTGCGCCATTAAAAACTTTCTTTTTTGACGCCTGTCAAATGACTGTCAAATCGTGCGTCCTACACTTGTTTCCAGTCCCCCAAAAAGGAAGAAGCCATATAATAAACATCGATGGAAAAAAAACTCGGTCCGTAATTTACAGTACGGACCGAAAACTCGGCTAATAAGAGGTATGTACCATATGTTGTGATTTTTGCATAAACAATACAGGAATAATTATTTTTGTATTGCTTACCCCCTGACTATAAATTATTATGTGTATAAAATTGCCTAAAGTAATTCAATGTATAAATTAGAGGGCTGGAGAGGAAATTAATGGGTCTTAGGGACCAGTCATAATTTAAGTTGAAGGCGGGGGGAGTGGAGGAGAAATTGGGGGCCTTCAATTTTTTGGATGGAATATGGGGGGCCTTAAAATGCCAAAAGATGACCTTGGGGGGGTCTTCAAGTTTCTTGTAAGTAGCATCCCTACTGAGCAGCATGATGTTTGATTATTAAAGTCCTATATTGTGTAATACTAAAACAATTTAATAAGCATTTTTACAAAAAGATTTAATGCTCAAATAGTAGGTGCATCAACACAACATCCATTATTGTGTAACACTGAAACAATTTCATCGGCATTTTAACAAATGATTACATGCATAAAGTCATATTATGCAATCTCACTATCCGAATCATTATTTGTAGATGAGGTTGATGTGGACTCACTGTCTGTGTCACCGTCAAGTTTTTTGCTATTAGAGCATGTACTGCTCATATAAAAAGTAGTAAGCTTTGGCTGATTATCTTCTTTCTTCCTTGAAGCGGTCCTGTCGGCCTCTCGCCTTTCGATGGCTTGTCTTATCTCAATTATAACACAATCACTGATATATCCTTGCTCTATAAGCTGTTTGAGAGGCTCTAGGTGAAATCTCTTTCTCAGTTCAGTGTGAAGTGCTTCTCTGTTATTAGTTGGCACATTCGGAAGTGACAGTGAGTAAGAACGGTAAAGTAAAGAAAATGTTATTTGTTATTACCATTTGGGTATTATGTATAAGAAAGGGGGGGCCTTAAATCTTTTAACATGATTGAAGGGGGGGTACCTAAAAAACATAGGTGCTATTAGTGGGGGTCTGGAAAAAATTTGGAATAAAAAACGATTTCTCCTCCACTCCCCCTCCAACTTAAATTATGACTGGTCCCTTAAGTCACTGTGGGAGTTCTTTTGTCGAGGGTGGGGTGGGTCTGTGGGTCTGTGGGTCTGTGAACATGAGTTATTACACACTTAATGAGAAATCATGCATTCTGGAAATAGAAAACTAAAAAGGGTAATAACTACAAGACAATTTGAACCTCTTTAAGATTTTAATGATTTAAAGTGAGTTAAGGCGACTAAAGGGCGATTTTAGGCGAGCGCGAGTTAAGGCGATTTTAGGCGACTTAAGGCAACTTTGGGCGACTTTAGGTGACTTTAAAAGGTCCCAGAGTAGGCCAAGGCTTTATTCTATTTCTGTGCAATACAACCTTTAGATTTATACCGCACTGAAGCAGAATTTGTTGTTGTTTGAGTAAAGACTGTCACACGAGATCATTCGAATGCAATTTTCTGGTAGAACTTTAAAAATAGTCAGAACGTTCTTGGATCGAGTTTCTGTAACTAAAAAAAATTATTTACCATCTTAGTGTATATTAAAAAAAGAAAAATCGCTAAATTGGGCAACTGAAATCTTTTAGCTTACTAACAAGCTAAACGACAAAGTACAAAACAAAAACTTTGCTATCGCCATTATGAAGTTGTCACTTCAGAAGTAAAAAAAAACATAAAGGTTCATAAAAGTTCACTCTAAAAATTTGCATGCACTAACAAAATTTATAAAACCATTACATAAGTATTTTTTTGTATTATCATTTGGTATTATCATTTGTTTATGACTGGCAAGATAAAACGCGACCTTCAACCTGTAATATTCGATAGGCCATTTTGACACTACATAAACATAAAAGGTGAAAAAACACCTTAACTTATAAGACTAACTATAAAATATCACCTAAATGTTTTCTGTATATCGCATAGAAATACGCCAAATATCAAATCTAATCATAGATTGCAGCGATCTAAAATAAATAATAAATCCGAACCTACCTCCAGCTAGACGGCGCCATTTTTCTTGCCCTGACGGCTGATCGAGAGCGGAAAGACGAACTAGTTCCAGTCCTACTCCGCATCACAGCTGAACAGGAGAGCGCGTATGAGCAACACCGCGGCAAAACGCGCTACGCATGAGCGCAAAGTTTAACATCCGGTCAGCTTTTTATTTCCGGTCTAGTATATAAACCAATTGAGTAAGCATAACATTGCCGTCGCGCCAAGTTTGAAAGCAAAAAGGGAGAAACAGACAAAAAAGGGGGCCAAAAAAATCACTTCATTCGAAAGCTTATATATTTTTCTAGTGTCAAACTTTTGCACCACATGGTTATCTGTTTGCACCAACGGTGAAAATGATGTTTGAAGTTTGCAGGTCGCGAGCGCTCGACAAGACGAATTTGTTTTTACTGGCTTTCTTGCATGCTACTGGTTTGGCATAAGTTAATTTGGGAGAAGGCAACAACTAAGAAAAGAATAACAATACTTATGAAAGAAACCAAAATAAAGACGTCATCATTATCATAATAAACACTAAAACCAGGAAATAAAATTTTAGTCCGTTCAATAATTTGTTTTATTATCAGAGAAAACAAGAACTCAAAACAAAAGATGGGCGGGATTTAATAACAACTTTGACTTTGATGACAGCAGTCACCGGGAAACTAAACATGCCCATAAATGGCTTTCATTCAAGAAAATGCCTATTTAATTCTTTTACATGGTTGTTCTTTTGTTGAAGACTTCAATAATTTCAGACTGTGCGGCTCGGCTGCATCTCATGCAAACACGAAACTTCTAGCTGCTAAATACATGGCATGAAACGGTTCGACTTCTAAAAGCCACTGAACCAGCTTTCGCTCTCTGATTCTGAGAATGGAAAAATAAATAAATAGAGTTGTCAACTTGCTGCCAACCGGGTCAACAGTATAATTAAGCTTATGTTTAAAGGCAATCAACCCAGAAGAGTTTCGTTTTAAAACACGGTAAAACCCACTGGTAAACAAAACTACAAAGCGATTGTGTGTTGTCGTTTTCCAAATAAAGTTTGAATCGGCTTTAACACATGTAGACTGAGAAACTGAAGAACTGAAAATTAGAACTACAATACACAAGCTTGCAATGATAACGTTTTAATTTTATGTCTTAGTTTTAGCCAGGTTAAGTGAAAAATAACAGTCAAAAACTTTATTTTCGTGAATGAAAATCAGTTTACCTGACGCTCTAGCCAAAATTACACACTGAGTAAGAGTTATTATCATCTTACCTTTTCTGAATCTAATCGACTAATTGTTTCAGTGATCTGTGCCTGGTTATCCATAAAAGCAATTTCAATAACTACAAAATAGTCAAAAACACGAGCAGCATAAAGCAGAACAACTGAACCACAAGCTGCACACAGAATGAAGCCGAGAGCGCGCGGGAGACTTTGACTGGAAAGTGTGACTGAAAAAGAGACCGGAAATGCTCAACCTGGCGCATGCGTAGACGTTTTGCCGCGGTGTTCGTATGAGCAAACACCGCGGCAAAACGCACTGCGCATGAGCACAAAATTTAACATCCGGTCAGCTTTTTATTTCCGGTCTAGTACATAAACCAATTGCGTAAGCATAATATTGCCGTCGCGCCAAGTTTAAAAGTAAAAAGGGAGAAACAGACAAAAAAGGGGGCGAAAAAAATCACTTCATTCGAAATCTTATATATTTTTCTAGCGTCAAACTTTTGCACCACATGGTTATCTGTTTGCACCAACGGTGACATGATGTTTGAAGTTTGCAGGTCGCGAGCGCTCGACAAGACGAATTTGTTTTTACTGGCTTTCTTGCGTGCTGCTGGTTCGGCAGAAGTTGTGGGAGCAGGCGACAACTAAGAAAAGAATAACAATAGTTATGAAAGAAACCAAAATGAAGACGTCATCATTATCATTAACATTAAAACCAGGAAATAAAATTTTAGTCCCCGTTTAATAATTTTTTTTATTATCTGAGAAAACAAGAGCTCAAAACAAGACATGGGCGGGATTTAGAAACAACTTCGACTTTCATGACTGCAGTCACGAACACCCGGAGTTTTCAGTGCCGGGAAACTAAACAGTATAAATGACTTTCATTCAAGAAAATGTCTATGTAATTCTTTTACATGGTTGTTCTTTGGTTGAAGACTTCAATAATTTCAGACTGTGCGGCTCGGCTGCTTTCTCATACAAACACGAAACTTCCAGCTGCTAAATACATGGCATGAAAAGTTCGACTTCTAAAAGCCATCGAACCAGCTTTCGCTCTCTGATTCTGAGAATGAAAAAAATTAATAGAGTTGTCAACTTGCTGCTAACCTCAACAGTATAATTAAGCTTATGTTTCATAGCAATCAACTCAGAAGAGTTTCATTTCAAAACACGGTAACTCACTGGTAAATAAAACTACAAAGCGATTGTGTGTTTTTGTTTTTCAAATGAAGCTCGAATCGGCTTTAACACATGAAGACTGAGAAACTGAAGAACTGAAAATTAGAACTACAATACACAAGCTTGCAATGATAACTTTTTATGTCTCAGTTTCAGCCAGGTTAAAGTGAAAAATAACAGTCAAAAACTTTGTTTTCGTGAATGAAAATCAGTTTACCTGACGCTCTAGCCAAAATTACACACTGAGTTATTATCATCTTACCTTTTCTGAATCTATACGACTAATTGTTTCAGTGATCTGTACCTGGTTATCCATAAAACCAATTTCAATAACTACAAAATAGTCAAAAACACGAGCAGCATGATTCAGAACAACTGAACCACAAGCTGCACAGAAGCCGAGAGCGCACGGGAGACTTTGATCTGACTGGAAAGTGTGACTGAAAAAGAGACCGGAAATGCTCAACCTGGCGCATGCGTAGACGTTTTACCGCGGTGTTGTATGAGCAGGGGTGATAAATGTTAGGCGGTGAACGAGCGCTCCGCCCTTCATTTAATGTGTGATGCGGAGTAGGACTGGTGCGAGCGCTCTTTTTGCGCTTCCGGTGCGCGTGAAGGCCGGCGAAATTTTCCTTTTTGCAAACCGGAAATCCTATTTTCTTTCTGTAATTTCAGGCTACAATGTTAAATAGATAAATTAGTTTGATAACAATAGCAATAAACAGTTTCATATGTTTGTGTCTGTATGCCTATAAGTCAAACTTGTTGGTCGTATAATGCCAAAATTTGAGTTTAATTTGAAAGTGTTGAATACATCCTCTTTCCACTAAATATCACCTAATCGTCTTTCGCCGTTTCGTTTGCAAAAGCTTAACACTTCTTAACCTCAATTTTTACATATGTTAAAGGGGGATAAATATTATATAACATAACAAAAAATTAGGTTGATATATTTTGATATAGTGGCGTTGTACTGCTTCAAACTTTGCTTCTCGGGTGCAACGCGCCATAGCGATTCGCGCAATGCGTCGCAAATCCGGCAACCGCGAGTAAACAAAATTTATTGAGGTTAGTTTTAGGGTTTTTTCTCCGTTTTTCTCGCCAAGAAAAGCAAGGTAAACAGTAAAAACTGAGGGGAAACTAATTTTGAAGTTTCAAAGAACCAGAAAGACGTATGAGATGTTTTCTTCAAAATTAAAAAAAAAATTGATTGTGATTGAAATTAGCATAATTTCACCTTGCACGAGCTGTACGCATTTATAAAATGCACGTCATTTAGTTGTGAAACACGATCTGCTTTCTTTTAGTTTTGACATGGATGAGATTTTCCTTCGTGTTTTAGACAGTATTTAGTTGTTTTTGTTTTGGAATAACATCGGTATTGGCGAGTAGTGGAACGAAAATATAATTCAGTGGTAGAGTCATGGAAGTAATAACCGAAACCCTTTGAAAGAGATGTTTGTCTACTCCAACTAAACCTCCCGCAAAAAATAGCAACATTTGCCTCTCGGAGGCAGCGTACCAGCACAAAGGAACGAGGAAGAAGTGAAAAAAAAAAAAAAAACAAGCCGCCATAATTCAGTGACAGCGGCAGTGTCTAATGGACAAACCACATCGCAAGCCCTGACCGAAGTCGAAAACAAGCGACATTCTTAAGCAGAGTCATAGTCCACTGCATCACACCTTTTTGCTCGGACGCGCTCGTTTCACCGCCCAACCTTTATCCGCTCCACGTGTGAGCGTATCAACGCCCTAGGGCTTCACACCTCAATGCCCTCGACTTCGCGTCTCACTGGCGTTTTATCCACATTCAAATTTGTTTCAAGGAACCTAAAGCAGGTGAATGAAAACCATCCTGGAGAGCTTTAATTCAGTTTTCGGTGTAAAGGAAATAAAAATTTCCCATATCTGTGACTGGAAGGACCGTAAACGTGGAAGGCAGCAAAGAAATGAAATGTTCGTGTGGTGCGATTGTACTAACTTGTCGCAAAAGACAAAGTGCGTTTGCTTTTCAACGAGGTAAGACGATATTAATTCATTGTTTCTGGTTGTCGAACCTATGTCATCGAAGATCGACATTACGGCCGTTTATACTCGAGAAAATAAGCCGCGGTTTTATTTAAGACGCGAAAGGTTCGAAAGGCTTATAACATGCGAACTGCCTCAGGGAACCCAAACGCTTATGAATCGTTTTGGAAGGGATTTGAACTAGAGATAGAAGACGTTTGTTTGGCTGATTTCATTTGAATGGAACGCGAAAGTTAATAAACTTTACGTCTTCGATTGATAGTCAACAATAATGGCAACTTAAGGCGTGACTGTCGCGACGCAGATCCCGCGAGAGGGAAATAGATGGCCCTCGAAAAATTGCGTTACTTTCAGCGTGGACAGCTAAATATTCACCTCGCCTAGCCACCTCCGCTTCGGTGAATAATGATGATTTTTAACTCATTTATTGCTGCCAAGGATTAACCGATTAACGTCACGTTTTCTTGCCAACAAATACAACATTTGAAGGCATTTGTTAGCTTTTGCGGGGACATTTCTTCCAAACGAGTTGTGAGTTCTTCTGTCAAACCGTATTTGATTTAGTTTTAAGCTTACTTATTTATGAACATGTCAGCTAAATGAAGTGTTGCAAGACTTAATTTCCATAAAATTGTAAACAAAAAAACTTTTTCACCAGTTTCATTGATAAACCAGGTTTAACAAACCGTGTTTCGTCGCCTTCTTTGTAAATAAACTAGGAGTAATAGGAGCTTAGGAGAGTGCGTTCGATATGTTTGTTAGGCAGGTAGCAGTTGATGGGGAAGGGTGGATGGTTCTTGCGATAGATAACTATGATTATGGTATATTTTGAGCGTAAGGGTTGCATACAGCGAAACCTCTATTGAAACTGCAGGCGGTGTGCGCACTGTGATTGTGATACATTTTGGATGTAGAATTTTCAAGATGGCGGAGAAGGTCGAGAAATTTCCCAGGTTATATGCTTTATATTTCGATAGACGTAGTTCTTTTCTGAGAAAGTTATCCACAATTACATAAATTCATACTTATTTACGATTAATCTGTGAAGAAAAAAATCAACATTCCTCATTACAATCTAAATCACGGAGCACGAAGATTCATCCTCTACGAGCATGAAATTTGAACTGGTTGTTTGGAGGGCTATAATTTCTATCTGACGATAGAAACTAGTCTTAAGTGTTTTTACAAAGATTGTTCTACGCCCAGGTATAAAATAAAGGCTCCCCAACGCTCCCCACTTTTTGAAATAATTTTTTCGAATTAAAACCGACCTGTTTTCTTAACAAAATGTGGCCTCGCACAAACGGCATGTCACTGGAAGTGCCACTCTTGTATTCACGAGTTAATTACAAAATAGTTCATTGGTTATATACAGGAGCATGAAGCCTGTAGACGACTGCACATAACAAATGTCAGATTTATGAAAAAATATGTGAATCAGTGAAAAATGGCCTATTGAAGTCTGATTGAAAACAAACATATCACAAACTAGCTAAAAATAGCTTTTACCATAATCTTATGAAAATATCTGAATATTATGACCTCCCTGATTTTGATCCTAATAATTTAAGTGAAGCTAAGATCAAACACTATGTAGATAGAATAAAACCAAAATATATTGCATATTGGCAACATACAATCCATCATTCTAAGAAACTACAATTTTACAGCTTATTTAAACATGATTATAAAATTTCAAGTTGTCTAGACTTAATTTGAAATTCTGCTAATAGGAAAGATTTAGTGAAAATTCGTATAAGTAACCACAAACTCATGATTGAAACTGGAAGATATAACCAAACCTCCCGCAACGATAGATTCTGCCCTATTTGTAACTCTGGTATAATTGAAGACGAATTTCATTTTCTCTTCCATTGTCCAAAATACTCAATCCCAAGAGAGAAATTCTACAATCAAATCCAACAAAATTTTGTCAACTTTAATCAGCTATCTTACACAGAATTAATAATCAAATTGATGAATTCACAGAATTTTTCCGTAAATTCACATCTGTTGAAATTTGTCTCATTATGTAATGATTTACGTAATAATTTGTTATCAGATCATGCTGATGACACTTGATTGACTATAGTAATCATTGCATTGCATTATCATTGTTATGATTTGTTTGTTTGTTTGTTTTTTTTTTTATGTTAAAGCTTTTGCAATACTGTAACTACATAATTATAGTCATGCAAATAAAGCTTATGCTGTTGTTGTTGTTAACCTGAGATAAAAAATTAACTACAAGATATCCAAAGTGGGAAAAAGGGGGTACTACTTAGATCCACCACAGTAACAATTGCTAACCCAAAAGACTAAAGTATATCAACAACTAGCCTGCGAACTTCAGACGTTTCTCCTCGCTCATGGTCTGCCGTTCGCAGGCTAATCAACAAAGTGGAAGGAAAATAATATCCGTCACTATAAAATTACAGCACTGAAATACTAATCACCATGCCAACATAATAATATATAGATTTAGCCACGCCTAAAAGCGGAGCTCCCGATTTCATTACAATAATAATAACGATAATAATGATGATGATGAAGATCGTTTTATTCACACTGGTACACAATACGATATAACCTCGTTGCAAATACTGATACTTCCCAGTCGGTATCGGGATGTAATCTAGCCTACGTGTAGCCGCAACCCACTCCCGACAAAGGAAGAAGAGGAGTCAAAGAAAACTACGAAAAAAGTACAACGTAGTTAGATAAGGTTTAAAGAGCAGGAAAGAAAAAGGTCTTAAAAGTTGAAACTAAAACTAAAACTCTATAACTTTAAAACAGCACAAGAAAAGATTAACTTATCCAAGGTGAATTCACACAACAAAGTTATATATGGTATAATAAATACATTAATTTCATATACTGGAAATGCAGAATGAAGAAATAAATTCAGGGAAGATCACCACAGTTATCAATGCAACTTTGGCACTGTACCTAACGTACCTAACCATTCATACAGTCATTCTCCAATTTCCACAGCAGCTGGTCAATTAGCCTGGCAATTCCTCAGAGATTGTGGTGGGAAACAGTTAGATGTCATGTGACCTCGAAGTAACTAACGAGAATGGTGCTGGGAAATATTTAGATTCTTGGAAAACAAAATTAACTGTTTCCCATGGGCCAAGTCTTTAAGTGATTTGTGATGTTAATATTTTAAAAATTTATAGCTGCATGGAATTTCATTAAACCTCCCTGGAATGTAAGTTGTTGGTCATTCACGGGTAATAGTGCACTGTTACCCTCTGATGTGAATGATTTTTGCGATGTTGCCTGCTTAGAGAATATTGGCACCAAAAAGTTTCTTTGTTAGATGTCAGGTGACATTGAAATAACCAATGAGTGTGCACATGGTTGGAAAGAAATTTCCACCTATAATAACAATGTTTCTTAATATATCATTGTTGTTGGAGAGAAAAAGGAATGGACTGGATTCAAGTAAATAAAATCTTTTCTTCTGTCATCCTCCGTTTCCACTTCACCAGGCTTTGGAAACTCATAGTCCACACCAACTGCCCTTGCTCTAGCAATTAGGCGGTCATCTTCTAAGTGGCTACTATTATTTACTTCTGGAAGAGGTTGCTGTGTTTCCTGCACGTTGCTTGCTCCCTCAATTGGGCCATTTTCTACTGCAGGAGTGTGTTGTTCCAACTCTTCTCCTAGTAAATGAATTATTTGTATTAACCAACTACACAATTCATATAAGCTATGGGGCTAGTGGATTCTATTTTTTTATCTTGCCTGAGGGATAATAGAGTTGCGATTCTTGGGCTAACAGATGCAAGCTACAGCCTTCCCGAAGGACAAGCACAAAACTGACCTCCTTTTCTTCGCACCCTAGTACTGCATGCTTGTATAACTGTACAAGAATTACTATTATAAAGCTGTATCTGTGGAAGTGTTCTCAAAACCTGATTTCAAATACAAAATACACAATATTTCTACTTTTGAAACTTCGGATAATACAACAACCTTGACAATCATTTTCTAAGTGCTGATATTTCATAAACCAGTCATCAAATATAATGGGAGTGACCCAACCAATGAACTCATTATTATGATCCAAAAATTATTATCTCTATGAGAATTCAATGTATTTTAACTTTGTCCTAGTCAAAGTAATGCAACCCTAAGGTAAGTTTTCCCATAATAATAATGCACGATCAAATACAAACAGAACAAAAATCCTACAATCCAGTCATGGATAATTAAGTGCAGACATGATGACTTGTCATGTTTACCACAACAAGAACACGACAAAAGGTCTAATCAATGAATTATACAGCGTTTTTGTTTCAAATAAATATGATGAATTCTGGGACTCATCTTGTGAGAAATCATGAGTCCCAGTCCAGAACCAATGAGTCCCAGTTAAAAAAAATGAGTCCAAAATGGAAAATGTTTGGGCCTTTATGTACCAGCCGCAGACAGTTAATCTGAAGACACATTCCAAAACTCTGTATTATAGTATACTGAAATTAAAATATAGTTCTTCTATTTTAAAGCAGAAGTCAACAAAGGCTAAAACAAATATGCATCACTAAACAACAACCATAACTGCCACAGAAATTACACGTACGGGATATTTCTACAAATACACACGTTCAGATCGATATATCCATGAATTATTTTATGTCTTTGGCGATTTTTATGTGTCAGGAACATAGATAGAATGCAGAGGTAACAAAATCACTGATTATATAGCTGCTCTTTTGAGTCCATGTAAAAAATATATATATGAAAGTTTTAACATTCTTATTTGTTACACACACACGCCCACCCACACCTTTATTAATTTCAAAATCTTGGGTACAAAAATGAAAAAAAAAACTCACAATGAATAAATAAATAAAAATAATCAGGTAAATTCATAAAATAAAACATTGACAAAAAAAGTGTTACAAGAAAAAGGAAAGATTACTTAGGTAAGACAACAGAGCATAATTAATTACACCAAAAAGGGGGAAGTTTTAAAAGTATACATGCTTCCCACCAGCAAATTGTGGCACTTAATTAGTTCTGATAAATTTCTATTGTTTATTAGCCCAATCACAGTTTTTCATTCTCTGATAAAATTGCATTATATTTCTTTCTTTTTGCATTATGTTTCCTTGTTTTTGCATTGTGTTTACTAAAAAGTACACTGCTCTAAGCCAATCAAATTCACAGAGAAATTTTTTCATGTATATTATTAACTTTCATAATAAAATACCATCTACCATAAACAACTACCGGTATATCAGTACCTGCTGAATGATTTTGCTCTTGTTCACCTGGCAGAGAGCTTTCCATGCTACATTCAAGTTGGAGGACTTCACTTTCATGTTCTTCTATGGCTAAGAAGATAAGATATAATCTTAATAAGTTGGGCAAGCAGATTGTGACACCTGAGGCTGATTGGTTCTTATATATTTCTATTGTTCAGTGTTATCCAGAAGTTTTAGAGTAGCCAGCTCCCAAAGCAAAGAAACTGGTGCCTGACACCAAGCACTGATAAAGCGAGAGTACTGTATCTAAGGGAGGGGTTTGGGGACATTAAGCCCAGAGATCTGAGAAGTTTTGCTCATGATTTATAAGCTTTTCCAGAGTTCTCCCAAGAACCAAGTAAGTTATCATGCTGGTAAATCCATAGAAAATGTGGTCTTTTACTTTTATAAAATAACTTTAAAGCATGTTTCAGTTTACTATGAGATTACCAGCACAATAAACTATTGGTTTTTAACCAATCAGAATGCATGTACTGTCTTAGTTATTTTATAATTAAAAATATTATCTGGCAATGTCTCATCAAAAATCATTCAGTAAATATATCGATAATACCATTAGCAAAAGGCAAATTGTCATACACCAAAGAGCTTTTTGTACGACAAGTTATTGTTTTTGTTTCTTTTAGGACCTTCTGAAAAATTCAAGATAAAAGGTACAGACAGGTTTTTTTACTGTTTTGAGTCATAAGAGTAGCCAGCGAAACCACCAGTCGCCTGCGCTTCTGGAGAACACTGATTGTTCACTGCTCTAAGCCAATCTCATTCAAGAAATTTTTCCATGTATATTATTAAGTTTTATAATAAATACCATCTACCATGAACTATATCTGTACCTGCTGATTGACTTTGCTCTTGTTCACCAAGCAGAGAGCATTCCATGCTACATTCAACCTGGAGGACCTGACTTTCATGTTCTTCCATGGCTAAGGAGATAAGCAAGCAGATTGTGACACCTGAGGCTCATTGGTTCTTATATATTTCTATTGTTCAATGTTCTCCAGAAGTGTTAGAGTAGCCAGCTCCCAATGTAAAGTAACTGGTGCCTGACACCAAGTGCTGGTAAAGCGAGAGTACCGTATCTAAGGGGGGGTTTGGGGGCATGAGGCCCAGAGATCTGAGATGTTAAGCTGGTGGTTTACAAGCTTTTCCAGTCTTCTCCCAACATCCCAAGTGGGTTATTACACCAGCAAACCCTTAGAAAATGTGGTCTTTTACTTTTATAAAATAACTTTAAAGCATGTTTCAGTTTTCTATGATTTTACCGGCACAATAAACTATTGGTTTTTAACCAATCAGAATGCACGTACTATCTTAGTTATTTTATAATTAACAATTATTCCACGAGGGCACGTTGGATATGAGATGGTAAATAGCCAACGAGACGCATAGCGCCGAGTTGGCAATTATAATCATCTCATCCAACAAGCGCAAGTGGAATAATAATTATTTTATTAAAAACGCCCACAAAATCCCTTTGAATCTTGTTAGAACAAACCAGAAAAGACAAGGGAGTTCCGCTATTCACATGTCACATGTCTATCAGAACTGTCAACGCGTGAACCGACTCGCCTGGACTGGATGAATGAAAAATCAAAACATTGTAGAGATGAACACTTTTAAAAACTCATCGAGATTCTAGGATTTTACACAGTGGGACAGCTAAAAAAACCTGGCAGATAATGTGAAGAAAAATAATTCTTAACAGCCATCAAAATTACTGTGAATTTGGATTTTTGGAGCAGTTACAAAAGTAAGAACAACGGAGATAAACTATTACCTTGGTCGCTTGTTATGAAGTTGTTTGAAGCCACAAGCTGGTTTTGCTGAACAAGAAAAGAAGCTTTACTGACGCCTCGATTGCTGTAGTGAATGGCTGCATAGCCTGTATTCTGGTTGCTTGTGATTTATATTCTTCATGTCGGATAAACAAGCGCAGCTATCTATCGGCAAGTGCCTCAGCGAGTGGCTTTGCAACCATGAATAAACAACACCTGTCTTCTTTTGTAGCTGTTCAAGGCACTTTAGTTCCATGTATTTTCATGTGTTTTTCGATAAACGTTCAAACAAGCTCTTGTGGCTTTTTGTTTGTTTGTTATTTTCCGATGAAATTGCATGTTTTTAGTATTCTAAGAAATGAACACGATTTGCTTGGCGCCGTTTTATCCTTCAGCGGAAAAAAAATGGAACTTACAAAAATTCAAGATAAAAGTTACAGACAGTTTTTTTTTATGTTTTGACTCATAAGAGTAGCTGGCACTTTGGAAAAGAGTTCCCAGTGAAACTGCCAGTTGCCCGCGCTGCTGAAGAACACTGATTGTTTATTAGCCAATCACAGGTTTTCATTCTCTGAGAAATTTGCACTTTATTTCCTTATTTGTGCCTTATGTTTCCTTGTTTTTGTACTGTGTTTACTAAAAACTGCACTGCTCTAAGCCAATCTGATTCAAGAAATTTTTCCATGTATATTATTAAGTTTTATAGGAAAATTCATTACCTGACGAGGGAATTCCATGTTAAATTGCACACGAAAACCGATATTGGTTTTCAAGTGCAATTTAACGTGGAATTCATGAGTCAGGTAATGGATTTTCCTTGAATCGCATAATCGAATAAAAATCAGAAAAAAAAGAAAACACCAATAATACTGTTTGTTTTTATCCTGAGCGCACGCCCCAGAAAGCCATTTCAAAGTCAAATGTCAAACCTGTCATTGCGTTAGCGAATAGGAAGCAAGGTCAGTCATACATGTTTGAACCTTTGACAACTTTTTTTGTACCTTGTGCTTGTTTTTACATTTGTTTTCAAACTTTTTTACACATGAACAAGCTTCACACTAATTGTAAGGATAAATAGAGGCATTTCATTGAATTTACAAGCCGTTATCTATAGCATCCTTTTTCAAATTGGTCATTTGCTCGCGAAGGAAAATAATTTACACCTTTTACCTCTTCGGTAGCAAAACTGAAAGAAATGAAGTGTCCAAGGCAAAGCACTGATTTTAACGTTGCGATTGATATAAGGTAAGTACCTTGAAACGTTTTAAAAATGCTGTTCAAGTTCAGCTCTGTTTTGTACTTTTCTAAGTACCATGATTCAGGATGAATGCAAGTGGCATACTCTTTTTCGTGTTTTCAGGGACCATGTGATCTTTGAAGGTATTTATTTCTTCTTCTGTATATGTGACAATTGACCCTGGCACTTCCTCCATTGTCGCTTCTCCGTTTTGTTTGTTTGAATTTGGCTTGCCATTTTCTGGGCTGTGTTCACAGGATTTTCTTGTTTTCTCATTGTCGCTGGCAAAAGGGGTTTTTTATACCTCTCCAAGAATTTGTAGTTTAGTTCAAAACAAGAAAGAACCTCCGGATCACTTTTTAAAAAATGCTTTTGTTTGTTTTTAACTATTTATTTATTTAGTCACTCACAACACCTTATACAACATAAACAAAAGGTGTTCATTAAATTATAAAATTAATGTGACAAGGAAGTCTAACGAAGCTTGAAGCTTATATTAATAGGCTTCCTTCAACTACCTAGAGAACTAAATTCATGGCTGAGTGCAGAGTGAGCAAGATCAGAAAATTAGCGACAGATCGGCTATCAGTGAGATAATTCTTTAAATTTTTTTTTAACAACAAATATAGAAGGAGAGCTAATTAGTGAAACAGGCAACAAATTCCAGATTTTAGGTCCTCGGTAAAGGATGCTGAATTGCTTTATATTTGATCTACAAAAATGAGGTCTATACTGAGAGGCCAGTCGAATTTTGGTATTGATGGACTTGATTACTACTTAAGAACAAGTCTCGAAAAGCTACTAGGCAAAAAGATTATGGTGATAAGAATACATAAAAAGTAGTGACAGAAAATGAATTAATACTAAATATGTCAAGGACTTTAAGCTGGCTAAACAAAGGGGCGGTATTTGCTAGATAGTGAGCTTTTCTTATGAGCCGCACTAGACGCTTTTGCAAAAGGTAAATACAGTTTAGGCTGGAACAGTAGGTGGAGGACCAGGCGACATTACAGTATGTTAAGAAAGGATATACAAAAGGTGACAATGATTTTGAAAACATTTTAAAATGACATTGTAGAAAACCTTTTTGTAGTTGTTGTGTTACAATTTGACGATAGTTGTTACGTGAGATGCTTGAAAAAAAACATCCCTTAGCCTCGTTTTTTCAACTCGCAATTCCACACTGAATACCTCTCTTCGTTAACCAATCAGAATGCGTGATTTTACTCAATTATGCAATTCTATAATAAATACCATCTACCATGAACTATATCAGTACCTGCTGAGTGACTTTGCTCTTGTTCACCAAGCAGAGAGCATTCCATGCTACATTCAACCTGGAGGACCTGACTTTCATGTTCTTCCATGGCTAAGAAGATAAGATAAAATCTTTAGTTGGGCAAGAATTTTCCCTCACCCCTACATACACCTATTGTTAAAAGAAAACATGTCAGAACAATACTGAGCCAAAAGTTGTAATTTCTGGTTTAACTCTAATGGGGAATTGTTTTTAAGAATAAACGAGCTGAGCTTGACAATATTCCTGGAAATATTATTTACTACACTGTACCCTCCAATGAATGAACAACTTGATAACGACACTCAAAACTGGTTTATAATATTTCCCCATCTCTCAACACAAGGAGTTTTTGAGCATTTATGATCACATAATTTTTGTCTTAATTTGGCTATTACTGCAAAGTACAATGTCTTCAATACAGTAAAAACCTAGCTGTGACTAAGAACCTGGTTTTTAGGAACCTGTTAGGCTAAACTTGCCAGTTATAATTAGGCCCCTCTATACAAGAACCAGTGTTTAGCCCAATATTTGACACACATCTTTATTTTCTCAAATCTAAAAAATTTT